AAAAACACAAGATGTTTTATTTTATACAACAGGCTGTTTGGGGTTTTTTTGGAAGCCGATATTTAAATGTCCGCCTTATTTACAAACGGCAGTAAGGTGCCTATTAATATTAATTCAAATTGTTGGTCATGGTAATAAAGATTTGGTTGTTTTTTGTTTGTTTTTGTTGTTTTTTTGTTGTTGTTTTTCGCTACTTTATTCCAGGTTTACACTGAATTTTAAGGTGTTTAGCCTAAGACGCATATATAGAACAATGCCTGACTCTCATGGCCCAGTCAAAGCCTGAACTGGTTCCCATACATTATGTGGGTACATTCTGTAGGCCATTTTGTGTTTCATTAGATTGACTATGATGAATTTCAGATATTAACCGATAGGAGGGCATCGATAGCTTTTTGGTACTGTCTATTTTCTCGCCCTGTAAAAACCCCGGACCCCTTTTTACTGACCTCTGCCTCGCGCAGCAATAACTCACGACAGTAATGAACAATCGGCGGAAATACCTCAAAATAAAATCCATCCTCCCAAAGCTCGGGTTCTGACTCTGTCCGCGTGGAAAAACATATCCGTCCGTGACAGCAGTGTAATACATCCACAAACCCAGGATCCTCTCTCTTTCACTCTGCTTCTCTTTGCTTTTCTTCCCTCGATAAACACACTAGAAAGCCCAGACTCCCCTCATGGCAAGTGGGGGTAAACCGCATATAATCAGCATCATATGGTCAGACCGGGGCTCCGGTTTTCTTCCCCGTGCCATAACACCGCGCAGTATTATGCGCCCAGCTCACGTGACGCAACGTCAACTTAAATCCCTTTTATTTGAGCCCGTGAATCATTAATGGAGGCAGTCATTGCCCCTGAGGAGAAATGGATCTGTTTGGAGGGAGAAAAAAAGGGGTATGTGACACTGCGATGGATCTGGCAGAGGAGCAGGTCTCTCGCAGAGAAGCAGCTTTTCCACGTGTCCTCCATTCACAGAGAAAGACTGCTCTGCCAGTTTTAAAGTGCCATATATTTGGTGCCTGTTAGCGGTTGAAAGAGCTAATCCTGTTTGACTATGCTGAGTTTGAAGTGCAGCCCCGTCTTTGAGCCAGGCTAAACCCAGAGCGTTTGCACTGCAGCTTGATAATTACATGAGACGGAGAGAGCTTTCCTTACACTATGCCATTTAACGGTGGCATAATGGCTACTTATCACTCCAGTAAACCTCCTCTCATTCTCTTTACAACACAGCCGGGGTTGTAGAGTGCATTACAGAGAACTCAACCCAATATCGCGCCCCCCCACCCCCCGTTCTTGTTGTCAGACCTCAGCTGTAGTACCACTTAGTGCAGCCTCTGGTTCTCCATCAGCAAAAGCCTGCTTGCTGCTGGCTAAATAGACAAAACGTCACACATTTACCTGTTCTACATATGGAGGGTGTGCGTCCTGGTGGTCGTGAGGAGTGCGTGTCAATCAGCAGAGAGCGGAAAGTGGAGGTGAGGTAACCAAAGGGTGGCTGCTCGACCCCGCTGATCAGTACATGGACCCCCATTAGACCTACGTGCGCTTACGCGTTTCCTATGACCAGCTGAGTGACGGCAGAAATGACAGGCTTGGGCTAAGGAAGGGTTTAGGAGCATTTGGAAAAGGGCTGGATAGAGTGGTAAAAGTGCCGACTAAGCCCGTTCACCATAAAACAAGTCATCCTTATCTAAAAAGCGCAAAGGAAAGACACCTGGCTTCAGCCACTGCAGATAATGCCAAAAGTCTTAGCCCGGAAGAGCTTCTCTCTTCGTGGCACCGCTTGGCGCTTGTTTTCCGTCAACACCCAGCAGCGGGCGTGGAAAAATCCCACCAGAACTATTAATCATCCTGGGCGGACACGGACAGCATCGCACTCCCACACCAGCCTTTGTCTTCTCAAACTACAACTTGAGCGGTAAACTTTTAAAGACGGGAACAGAGCCAGATCAACACCTCTGAAAGTGAAGATGAGAGGAGGAACTATGATGAGGGTTAGAGGCTTTTAGAGTCCGTTCTAAAAAAAGAAGTCGTTTTCTCTTTTGTTAGATATCATGTTTGTGTCTGTAAAATGTTTCTGTTCTCTCTTTGTTCTACAGTTGTGAAGCTGTCATCAGGACTTTACGGCTCGCCTTGACCAAGCACTGGAAGCTTATCCCACGTTGGCTTTCGCCACTGCACCTGAACTTTTCCCTGACCCGAGCAGAAGCATTTAAAGTGGACTGGGAAGTTATTTGGGGTTGAAAAACAAGGAGAAGATCGGAACCAAAGGCCCTCTGGCAGTCTACTTTGTCACTTTAGTTGCACTTTTTCCAGACTTGCCCTTTGCACCAAATTGACTGATTATGTCTTAAATCTCAACTATTTTAACGTAAAACAAATGTTTCAGTTATTTACACAAATCAAGGCTCCTTATCACTGTCAGGGAAGAGGAGTTAGAGGCGCAGACCTCTGGATGTTGGCCAGACGCCGGTCCATATCTTCCCACAATGTTGACACGCCGAGCTCTTAACAGACAGGCTTGAGTTACCGATACACTCAGCCGAAGATAATGCATTCTGCGAGGTTTACACAGGCCAACATCAAGGCTAATGCGAAATTCAACTCCTTCAGATGACTGAAGCCATCTCCCATGGATGCAGACTCGCACGGGGGTGGACAAAGACAGTGGAATTGTGATTATATAGGTGGTTGTAATAAAGCTATTTGAATTTTCATGTTCACTCAGGCTCTTGTCTGTGACTGAAAATGTTCCCAGTTCACATCTAATATGCATTTGTGCAATAGCTGGCAGTTAAATTGTGAAGGTAAGTGCAAAAAGGGGAATTATAATAATAATAATAATTATAATTATAATAATAATAGTCCCACACATTTTCACGTAGCTTAAGGACTTTGTTAATGTTTAACTTGTGTCTAAACTGAACATTGTGTTCACTCTCATTGAAAGGCTCTTTGATTCTGAGTTGTCCTGACAACTTTTAGAAGCAACACACACATACACCTTTTGCATTGTTACTGATACATTCTCTACCATTTTTATTTTCAAATATGGATTATTATAATCAGTGATTGGTTAATAATCAACGTTTTACTGCCAAAATCCATGAAAACCGCCGTTAAGCTTGTTGCACCATCCTTGAAAACAGTCGTTTTGAAGTAAACCTTGTCATCATAAATGCAGTTTGTTTCTTTTATTATCAGACATGTCATCTTCAGGGAACTGAATTATTTAAGAACCCAGATCATTTCCCACTGCAACATTACAGTTTACATCTGCAGTCACATGCAAACTATAGTATTAATTTCTTTTTTAACAAATTGGCACAGCTTTTGTCTTGTAACGAGTTAAATAGAAGAGTACTGGTTGGATTCTATCTTTTTATTTACTGTCTTGGTTTGCTGTCGTTTATTATCTTTACTGAAACCTTCTATGTAAAATACACAGCGTTTTAGCATAAAATACATCCACCAGCTATCGAGAATAAAATAGAGAATTTGGATTATTTCAGCTTTACACTAAGTTAAATATGATTCCAGAAACTCTACAAACAGATCATTTCATAGTCCATATGAAATAACCATGAACACGCCTCAGTTATGATTCAGACTCTACTTCCAGGATAGTTTATACTTTTTTTATGCCCAGAAAAATAAAACAACAAGATAACCAAAAGTACTCACAGGTCATGACGATTTGTGTCCAGCAGACAGATTTCTGTCAGGGAAGGAGAGATCTGACTCGCACCCTGCAGAGGATCACTTCAAATGAAAATTAGGCAGATTTTCACATCTATTTCTGACCCCAGGGACATTCATTATTTAACAAGCCACGTGAACGGTAGAATTAAAAATTCACTGCATTGGAAGTGACCTCTATTCGCGTACGAAATGACTTGAAATCTGTAATTTACTAGTTGGGCTTCTCGGAGTCTGCGCAAAAATCAGTGCCAGTCAGCCTCATCTTATCTTCTGCACAGCTTTCTTGTCTGCAGCAAGGACGACACAGCATTTAATACATGCTTCAACGTTTCTGCAGCGAGTGTAATTTGTTTAAAAATGTTATGCAGACAAATGCAAAAGGTGTAACCAAAATGAAGATGGAAAGTTCATCCTAAAATCCGCCTAAATCCTACAATGCACGTTACTTTTTCTCTGTGGATTTTACTTTGTCAGTGTTACTTAATGTAGCATTGAAACACTGCAAGCCCGTTTTTTATGCTACTACTGGCTTTGACAGTGTCACTAAACCATCAGTGCCATAACAGATTGAAAATCATACTAAATTGCATGCACTGTTTCTGCTCATATCAGCCCACGCTGCACTCAGCCTGACAGGGCTGCTTCTGTGATGAACTGCAGAAGCGCTGCCTCTAAGTACAATTTTGGGAATAATCGAGGCTCACATTAACACCTCAACACTGCTTTTGTTTCCATGCTCTGTCTCTGGGCAAGTCTTAAGTAGGAAGCAAAGGCTAGTGCGGGTCCTAGCGCTGATGTATGGTCTGAACATTGTGTGTGTCGACAGGTCAGGGGTCAGAAGAAGTGCTCTGAGCCGGTGATTGGCCAGAGCCGGCCGTGTCCCCTGGTTGAACTCTCTATTGTTTGGATGTAGCAGGTAGTGGCCAACACTCACACTGTGGTGCACTAAGGTTGGCTGAGATCTCCTTAGAATTGCAAGTAAGGACAATATGTGTAGCTGGACGTTTAACACTTTGGGTTAGGTCTCTTTCCCGTGTCAGCTGTAAAGCATGCAACACTTAGAGCGAACAGCTGATTCCTGCCTCATAACAAATCTCATTTTAATCTACCAAAGTGTGCGTGACATTCACAGGCATTTCACGCATTCGAATTTCAGCCACTTGAGCACTTTACATCCACAGTAGAATCCCACATATGAATACATTTTACGCAATGAATTGCACGTGAGGATATGTTATAAGTCTGGGATCATGAATAAAGTGAATAAATAAAGACGTAACTCTGAAAAGATCACACATGTTCATACCGTGACAATGTTGAAAGTTGTTCCTTTAATTCTAAGAGCCCAGTTTATATTTCCATGCTCCTATGTGGAGTGGATTACTGTCGAGCTACGTCTGGCTGTATTTTGATATGCAGCGATAATAAAAGTATCTTATTTGATTAACATCTTAATCGCTTCTGCAAATACAATCAAATATAGGTTTCTAATCTATTCAGATCAAACAAACAGGTCAAAACTGTAGCACAGTAAATTATCCAGTGATCGGAAACGTTATACTAGTTTTACGCACACATCCCCAGACACTGGACAACTGATTCAAATGCTTCAAATAAAAGTTCAAGTCCCCGACCTTGAATAAAAATTAACAGCATGAAAATATAATGCCCGAGTCTGAAATGAAATCCATAAAATTGTGAGTCCATAAAAACGAGGCACCTAAGTGTGAATGTTTTATCAGCTTTATCAAAACATATTGCGCTGAAATCACATCAGTATTTGCAATGAAATTCAAAGCCATGTCAGCCTTGGAAGTGGGTATTTTTTTTATTTATTTCACAAGGATAGATTGAGCCTACACTAGCCTACATCACAATGGTCATCACTGACAACAGACAACACATACAAATATTCACAGTTTGGAACACAGCACGACATGGGACGTACTAGCACAAATAAAACTAAACCTCACAACACCAACAAATATAATTCTACTTGGCGAAATGCTTTCTTTTTTTTTTTGTGCCTCCATTGTGATTTGTCTATGTACATTAAATGTAAAAGTCACATGGACTACATTCAACAGTAAACCGACCCACTCAAACACACAAACTACACTGTTACCCTGACTGATGCCATACCTCTACAACAACCGTGTGGTTTACTAAACAGACATCCACAGAGCTTCGCTAAATATCTTTCAAGTATATTAGAACTTTCCATGAGCCATAATAAAACAAGGAAAACAAACAAAAAAATGCAAAAAGAACATAGAAAAATGACCTCAAACTTACTTTTGCTTCACTCAGTTTTAACTGTAATGGTACATTTTGATCCAAGTCCTAGGTTTGAATGTGCGTAATCCTTTAATCCTTCTTTCATAATAATAAACACTTCAGTTGCCACCGTGGCAATTAAAGGTGAATTTCAAGCATATATGAAGAGGGCGAGGGCGAGCAGGGGGACAGGGTACAAAGGACGTGACAGGGGCCCAATGGCAGAGGCAAGGCGAGAGATATAACACCATGTGTGTAAAATACTGAGAATCTGTCCATCAAATTCCACTTGTGTTATTTGCCATCTCAGTCTGGATTGGGTTTTTTGGGGTGTGGTTCGTTCATGCACTATAGCCCTGCGGTGCATGGCGTGGGGACGAGCTGCTGGCCTGATTTGATCTGCTGCTGCTGGGCCCCCGAGGCTGAGGACGAGGTCGAGCTAGACGAGCGGATCTTAGTATTGGGAAGCTTGTGTTCCTTCTTCCACTTCATCCTCCGGTTCTGAAACCAGATCTTGACCTGGCGTTCGGACAGACACATGGTGTGCGCAATCTCCACCCGTCTGCGCCGGGTCAGGTACCGGTTGAAGTGGAACTCCTTCTCCAGCTCCAGAGCCTGCTGGCGAGTATAAGCAGTGCGAGATCTCTTGGGCACTCCTCCATTGTAACTGGCACTGACTGGAGGGGGGAAAGCCATAGAGAGGCAAGCAAGCAGGTGTTACATGCAGGCTAGTAGCGCTTATTCCAAACCCATACAGTCCATCAACTGGACACATTGCAAGACTGTCAAACTAAAAAACATTTCTAGGTTTGGTGGGAAATTGCAGCCGCTCTGTTTATATGACTGTCTTGTTTCAGTGTATGAACATGTCCTTAACGTGGAGATGCCGAGTGAATAAGCACTCGCATCAAGGGACAAATCAAGCTTAGAAATGATTAACAAAACAGCGGGGTTGGATATTACAGTTTGGCTCGGCTCCAGTTTTAGAGGTAGTTTGGGTTAAAAAGCAACAAAGGCACATGGCCCCGACAGACGAACACAGGCAATAAAATTTACGAGGGTCCTTAATTACCAACCCTGCTGCTCATAGTCGTAAATTGCTGTTGTAAGGGCTGCTACTAGTGCTGCCTCAATAGGCTTGCGTGTGTTCCCGTGGTTGTTTCTCTGTGGTTATGCTATTTAAGCGTGACGATAACTCACCGGTGCTAACGTGGACCTTTTTCATCCAAGGATAGACCACCGGCTCCTTACCCTTCGCTACGCCGGGGTACACCTCACCGGCGAGGCTACAGTCTTTTGCATTTACCCCTACGCCACCGTCGGGGGCCGCGGTGAGGCGAGGACCGTGGCTCTGTGGAACCGGTTGCGGCTGTGCGTGATGCCCATCGCTGAAATCATCGAGACCAGTGGCGGGGACGTTACCGTAATCGTAGCCCGATTCTGTGTAGTTTGACCTCGGATAGGATGGCTCCTCGTGATGGGGGAAGCCCGTATCTTTTGGCCGCTCGTAGTAATCACCAGGATTAGGGATGTATCCGCTCTGCTGATATTCGTCGCATGGAGGAAAGGAAGGCTCGATATAGTTGGAGTTTATCAAGTAGGAACTCATGGTCATTAATTTGTGAAGTGCAACAATACTAATTTTTATCGCGCTGTCGTTTTTCTGATCTCCACAAAACCCTCCTACTCCCTGTCAAATGTACAAAGTTGCCTGGTCACGTGTGACGCGCCACCAATCACCGTGTGTCCTGTGGGCATCATGTAAACAGGAACCAATGGAAAGCATGGCACTGGTACCACCAACACTGCTCGGACTGGCTTACGTTGGTGTTTTTCTTATTAAATCACAGTATATAAAGCAAAACCTATCAATTAACTTGTTTACTGTATGGGACCAAACTTATGTGGGCGAGGCTTTCCTGCATCTGGGAAAAAATCCACATCCTCTGAAACTGAAAGTGAATATGAAGAGGAAATACAGAAAGCTCACAAACAAAAGACTTCTGACGGTCAGTGACATAAAGCTTGGCTGTTTGAGTTGAAATGCTGTTGCATCCTAAGAAAATATTACAAGCAAACAGGCCAACACGGCAACACAAAGTGGAATGTTGTATTCAAGCTTACTGAAATGATCGAAGACCAAGACAGTGTGCACAAGCTTCCTGGATAAGCACTGACGAGCCGCAGTTGTGCGGACATCCAGGCTTGTATATAAGGCAAAAAGGCTTTTTAGCCTGGTTAATATTCGCCTATGACACACTTAAACAACATATGACCCTCACTTCTCTTGTTGCATGACTGTGCACGAACATGCACAAGGTCCTATTTAGTGCATTTCATAGTCCCAAATGTAAGAACGGCTGTTAACTGCAATTTTCCAGGACATAGCAATAATTTCATGCTATTTTTGGTCTGTGTTTGTCAGACAAAACCACATTACACTAGTCTGGCACTGACCGTATGGTCATCACGTTGTTATCAGCTCTCCTGTATTAACTTCCACTGTTCCACCCAAACCTCCAAGCTCATCCAAACACTGCACAGACACTTGCAGACACGGATCTTGCATTAAAGCCAGATGCCAAAACACAGCGTGGGATTTGAAACCAGAGCAGACCATTTACAGTAAGAGATGTCAGCCTGAAATGACTCTGCACAGCACAGATAAAATCATGTGTTGGCTTTTTTTTTTCAAAACTGAATTAATTTGGAAATATATAAAAACTTTTGTCACCAATAATTTACTAACATTTCTCTAGAAATCTGCCATATGTTGCTTAAAGGACTCCCTCCTGTGCTTACTGCAAAACCACTTGACTGTAAACAACAAAGGTAGAAACACAGTCATGTGAAAATATGTGTGAGGACACAAACATTAAAGTGGTAAATACTCCAAGGCCAGTTAATAACAACAGTAATAATAACAATAACGTCCATGCCAATAAATAAATTATACAAATTCAGGAATATTCGGTGTCATATTTCCATATATTTAAATACTTTTAGAATACATTTTTATAAGGTAGAAAACATCCAAGCCTCACCGTGCTGCTCGCCTCCAGCCATCATGTCCAAGATGTGTTAGTCCTCCGTGTCCGAGGTGGTGTCTCACTGTATCTGTCCCCCTTTAGATGCGGCAGCTCTTCACAAAGCTCATCGACACCATTCTGCCTGACCCCAAAGTGACACCGTTTCCATTTTGTTTCTGATTAATCTTGCCCATTGACAGTCTTTGTTAAACAACAAGGCGTGCCCCCCCTTTCCAAAGAGGCGACATTTTCATATTTGTTAGACGCAGTGACCTGGGGTTCACCCCGGACTTGGACTTCAGTTTTGCATGGGTCTGTTCAACACTGGGAAGCTGGGGGAGCACTTATCGCGGGTCAGCGCCCAGGAGGGTCCCCATAGGACTTTTAAAAATGTGTAACAGCTATTTAGAAAATCGCAGTTGGAACTATGAGTGAAAATGTACATCTGTGGAGAAGCGCTGTTCTTCCAACAGATAGTCAGATGTAATATTCGTCTCTGAACCTTTGTTTTTGGATATGCTGATGCACACGACTTAAAACAGGTGACTTCTCTTTTTCCTTGCTCTCCGTTTCTGCTCTTTGACAATGGCCGTGGTTTCCCTCCTGGCACACTGTTGCTTGTGAGGCAGTGCTGCCACTACCTTGTGTATCTCACAGGCGATCTTGCATCTAACTCATTGCAAACGGCAGCTGAAATATCCGCCATATATCCATGTATCCGTATGGGCAAGAGACCACCTGAGCAGCAATATGTCAGCGGTAAGACGACTTCACATGATATCTGAATTTACAGCCTGCTGCCATTCTGTTATATATAGTCCTGTATAAATACGGGGCAGGTCAACGCAGCTATCATCCTCTTACTGTAGGTTCTCCCTGTTTTACAGGCCATTCTACTTGTTGCTGTGGACTAGTTGTTTTCCCTCCAGTATCCAGCTTTGAATAACTTTATTGAAACATATAATCATGAAAGCTCAAGAATCAAAAGAAGCATTTTAGACATCAGTCCCGATAATAGTCTGGGCTTGTTGTAGGTTTGAATCACATAGAGCACCTGCAAATCTCAAACAATGCCGCTTGTATTAAACTATTATATGATAATCACCGTCTAGTTGGAATGGTTGGAGTAAAAGGCAGCATTTGTAAACGATGTTAAACTCATTTCCACTACCTCTGTAGTTTTTCACAAATTTTTACATCCTATTTTGCTCTTGTCAAAAAAAAATAAAGATAAAAAAACAGGCTCGATTTGATTTTAGCAGCGAGTCACATCACGGTGTTCCCTTTCAGAACAGAACTGTGATGTGAAGGTCTATTTAACCAGAATACATCATGCTGACAGTTTACTGTAAATTTAGATTATCAGAGAAGTGCTGCGACGTTGGTGACAGATTACAGCTGGCTCTCACAAGGTCTCTTGTCTGGCCCTGCTTGACGGGCGCAATAACAAATTCTCTCTGCATTCAAGATGCCAAGGATTCGGGCTAGAAAACACCTTTCACACCTTTGTGGAAATATTTTTATATAGGTAAACACTGACGATCAAGCATTTTCTCTTTTACATCGTCATACACTCGTTTATACTGCGAGACGAGCGCAGATTTGGACAAGAGTGTTTATCTGCAGCTACAAGCTCTGATGTGACTTAAAATACGGTGCATGCGCTTCAAGATCTTAATAATAGTTAAGGGTGGGAAAAATAAAAGCGGTAATCAGTATAATATGTGTGGAACAAACATCTAAGAATCCATGTAAAATCGTGTTCGGTGAGAAAACACAATAATGGAAACATGTATGACAATGCCATGACGCACTGTGACTCTCAGAGCTTATTAGCAGCGCACTGGGCCCATTCTGTCCTTTTTTAACAATCTAACAAAACAAACTTTTGCGTTCAAATTTTCTTTAGCTAAAGTGTGATTTATGTTCTTGGAAAATATTCGTAGCTTTATTTGATTATTCACATACCAGTGTCGTTTACAAAGCGCACAAAATTCTAGCACAGATGCCGCGCACTGCGTGTTGAATGTCTGGAACCGTGCTGAATTTCGAGGCTACATATAAAAGTGATTTGGGAAATAAAGTGTTTCTTTTCTTGTGATTCCATGTTAACATGAAAATAAAAACTGTATGAACTCCAGTGACTATATATTGTTCTGTGAATGACCGTTTTGATCAAAGGAACAGCAGCTAGTTCTCGTTTTGGTTTGAAGTGAAATAAATACTAGACGCTGCTCCGACCTTGTGTGTTGTGCTGCAGGGTGCATCTAAGTTATAGGATTCATGATTATTTAGTTCTTGGTGTCACTTTCTTTATCAGTCATTTTTCCTCATTGATATTTTTATTTTTCCACCGGGCATACACACTTTAATCAAAGGCTGCCTGCGTTAAAAACATGTCCACAAGAGGTTAAATAGGCCTAGTGAAAAATAAATAGTATATATCCTATTGACATATATATATTTCTAAAGCTTTCTTTTTGTGAGTCACAACAACATCTGTGCCATTTCAGTTTTCCTAAAAGCATTCTTTTCACTTGATCAGGAAGAGAGGGGCTAAATGTTTTTTAAGGGGTCCGGGGCCCCGGTTTGGGGGCTGTGAGCCTTCCCATTACCCTGTGACCGGGTCGAAAGTATCAATCCTCAAAATGCTAATTTTGCCCTCGTCCCTAAACATATCAAATGCAATTTATTCAAAGGAAATTCACCAATCAACCGCCCTAATAAAACGCCAGCTACTCAATCTTGTTCCCGGGGACGGGTGGGGGGTCCCCTCCCCCGGTCCCAAACGCGAGGTCACCGCGCTTCCAGGGTTCACCTGGAGTGCACCGTGCAACATATGTAATTCAAAGCTATTCTGCCTTTTGTGTGGAGAGTCAAGATCGCTATTATAAGGCTGGCATCAAGCTTCGAGTGAACAGATGACGGAGACTTGTTTAGCGCGTAAACTTTTGACCCCAATTTTTCCTCCTCTGCTGCAGCTATCTCGTTCTCATCAGCCCCAACCCAGTGAGATATCTGGATCTCTTGAAACGAAAAGGTGATTTGAACACTGTGTAGAGCCTAGCTCTGGCCATCATCTTGATCATTTTCACAAATTCCATAATTAGAAAAGATGCCAGGACAAGACCTAGAACGCATTTGCAGCTTTGTGGCGTTTCCAACGAGGGAGTGAGAAGATAAATCCACTTGGCACCAACTCAAGACCAATAGAGCTGTAAAATATGCAAATCAGCCATTAGCGTTATGCAGCAACCACATCAGCTAAAAGTCTTTGTTGGAGTCAACACTGGAAGTTAAATCTCCCTCTCTTCGCTGCCCAATCTTTCCCTCCAGTGCAAGATGCCGCCACAGGCGCAACGTCCTTTGGCACATTCATTTCTGCCCATTATGCTTATAGGCAACGCCAAGCAAACGTGTCATTAACGTGAGCGCGTGTGTGCGGTACCGTGGATGTGTTCGTGGGCTTCCTCTCTCCATACAGGAGACTGACAGTGAACTTGGCCTAAAGCGAGCTCTGCTGGTGGCTCTGAGAGGATGCAGATTTATCTTGGTGCTGTGGCTGACCTCCAGATGAACCTGCAGCTTCTCTCTCTCCCTCTCCGCCTGGCAGTATGCTGCACATGGCGCGCTGTCGAAATGCCTCTTCTTGAAATATTGGCAAAGGTTTTAATTTCCAAAGTACAGCGCCCTCAATACGTCTTAGTTTGTTTTCAGTGTGTCTAAGATCGAATTGGAAAGAGTAGAGATCCGTGTGTATGTAAGCTGGGAAGGTCTTTACATGACAATGCGCAAATTGTGTTAAACAATAGATCGAGGGATGTCAGCGATATGGACTGTATTATTCTAAAAATGTAGTCAGTACAACAGCAAAGCTGTATTTCTGCTTGATTTAAGACACCAGTTTGAAGAAAATTCACCCTTTGCTACCCAGAATTTATTCTCCAATGTGCCTGGATTTTAAATGCGTGTCCTCTCCGCTATTTGTGCAAAAAGCTTTGGAAGTTAAGAGGAGAAATCCATTTGTTTACAGTGACACATGTATTTGAAAAAAAGTGGGATGTTATTCCCGGTATATTCTCTGTGTGATGGAAGACCGTCCGCCAACACAAAAAAATAATATTTAGGTGTAAATTGTGCAAAAACGACAAAGCAGCTGCAGGTTCACAAAAACGGAATTACAGTTCGCAGTGCTGTTGACTGCCAAACCTCTGGAGACACACATATCAGTCGCCTGTCAAATTATTTGGGTATTTTCAAGCATATTTGTTTCAAAGTAGGAACGAACGCAGTGAGTGGATTTCTTCTCATAAAACAGACTCAAACGGTGAGAAAACAAAAAGGTCAGTGACTCAACACAAATAAATCAAAAATCATAACATTTAAAAAATATTTCATGCTCGTTTTTTTCCACGCTGCTTCCAGAGGCAGCTCACGCCCCATCTCTGCTCGGGCAAGAAGAGGTCACCACAAAGCCAAAGCGACTTCTGAGAGGTCACCTGAACTTTTCAACCTCCAACACAAAACGACTTGGCTGACACAAAACGGAATTCCTTTTCAGATGTCTCCCTGCTGTTGTTTGTTCCCATCTTGTGTTTACTTGTCACTGTTTACAGCCTGTCCTGAAGCCATACATGGGGCCAACGTGTAGAAGTGCAACTTTCTCAAGCGTGGACTTACAACTTCCAAAAGTCATCAGCACATGCAGAATCCAATCAAACGTAACTGTAAATCTGATAGTCCTGCATTAGCGCTTAAACCCTATCAGGATCATCTCCACACACACCCCTTGGAAACTTTCTGTCTCCTTCGGTCCGTGAATTCTCCAGTGTAATAAAACGACAACAACTAGAAGTTTGTGGGGGTGGAAATTGAGATAATTAGCCAACATGTAAAAATGGATTACGAGTTACACCACAGACGGAGGGAAACAAGTTGCACAGGGAAGGAAGCAATTAAATAGCCATAAGCCGGACCCAACCCTGCGCAACATCTGCCGAGACCAGTATTCACTGTACAACTGACAAATTAGTGTAATGAACTAATAGGGACGGACAGAGGGAGCGAATACAACAATAAGGCTGTTTAACAGAGGCTGACTGTTCTCAGGCTACCAGATAGTCTGCAGCAACTCACCCAGAGACGCGTTCCTCATCCTGGAGAGCGCATGGTCCATACTGAGGCAGCCTGAGCAAAAGAAACAGGTCTGTACCGGTCAAGTAACACTTACACCCTGCAAAGAGAGAGTCAGACGTAGCCTCGCCGTCAGTACGATTATATGTTATGTGCAATATACTGTCAACTCCCCAAAACCATAAAACTTACTTTAATGGCTACCACGTGACCGTTTATAGCCAGTGAGCCTATCTGGCCGCTCTCCGGATGATTTTTACGATCTAATTCATGTGAAATATACTGTCACCTCCCCAAAACCATAAAACTTACTTTAATGGCTACCACGTGACCGTTTATAGCCAGTGAGCCTATCTGGCCGCTCTCCGGATGATTTTTACGATCTAATTCATAGACAAAACGCCCCATTCATTTAGCACCCAAATGTCAGAGAGCCAGAATCGGGGCCTAATAAAGATTAAAGCTTAAAAGGTAGAGCTGATTCTCCGGGAATAGTGCAGGAGTCTGTGCGCAAGGGGACGCCCGGTGGTCAAGGATCCCAAAGCCCCCAGCTCCGCAGCAAGGTGAGTAAGACTATTAGTTTTCATTCAAGGGGACCTGTTGAATTCAAGGAGATTTAACTTGCAGACACTGACAATCTCTCACAGATCATACGAGTGAGAATGATTTGGGCTCAAACAGCGAACTTTAAGTCTTCTGTTGTTGTGACAAGCATTTGTGGCAAAAGCGCAAATTCGTCTGAAATATTTTACAAAGACGTACATTCACTGCAATGTTACCGTTCCAGTAGAAAGTTTATTATAATAGCCATCCTCGACATCATCATTATTATGATAGTATATTCTTGACTTCCAGTCTTTGAAAACATTTAGAAAAAGATCATCACGATGGAATTATACACATAGGCAATGCAGTTTACTGTGGGGCCCTCCACATACAGCTAGAAAACAAAGACAAACCACGTTGGCACCAAAGAACGCAAACAGCAGCTCCTGTAAAACCAAAAATACAAAGCGCAGCTACTGCACATACAAGACTTGAGTGGCCACCTCTGTCCATACATGTGTTCACAACGCACACAATAACCACACAAGGTTTACAAACTCTGCTGGCTCTAGTTATCTGACCAGTTGGTACAATACATGGAACATATAAATACATACATATACAGTACATACATAGAAAACCAAGGCTAACCACAAAGGAAGTTCAACCCTTTATTTAGCCTGTTAGGCTGTTATTGTTCTGAGTGCATCACAACTTTTACTGGAATTATTTGCGGTAGGTTGGGAGCATTTCAAGCTTTAACGTTTTTATTTACCTATTTATTTATTTAAATTGTTTTGAGTCTTAACAAGAAATAATTTAAACAAACATTTATTTAGCTTCTTTGTCCTCTAAATCTAGACAGAACTGTACATAATACATTTTTTTTTTACTCACATAAACATCACCACGGTAGAAATAAAAAGGAAATGGTGTTCAGGAATATAATGGGACTGTTGGAGGACACAGTGGCCTATAATGGGGTGTCCCCTGTCCCCGCACACCGCCCGTTAACAAGTCTCTGCGCTTTTTGAAATGGGAGGAGGAGATATGACAATATGTGTGTTAATTTTTCATAGTGCTCGTTATCGGGAGTGGAGGAGTGAATATCAAGGCCTGTAGCCTCCCCCGCCTGCAGCCGCCATGCTCATGCTCTTCAGCTTGTTGTCCTTCTTCCACTTCATCCTGCGGTTCTGGAACCAGATTTTGATCTGTCTCTCTGACAGGCACAGGGCATGAGCTATCTCGATCCTTCGCCTGCGGGTCAGGTACCGGTTGAAGTGGAACTCCTTCTCCAACTCAAGAGTCTGGTACCGGGTGTATGCGGTCCTGGCTCTCTTCCCCTCTGGTCCTGACAAATCTTGTACAAAACAAAAGGTGGAAACACATGAGCTACAGATGTCAAAAATCAGTTCAGCACCTTTAAAAAAACATACGCTTCGCCGTGTTTCGGGTTACTTTTAGGGGTTCTGCAGACAGAAACGGCTTCAACGTTGTCACGGAGAAAATGTAAATGGCGGTTAAATAATAAAACCCCGAAATCACTGAAAACAAGAACAAATTGAGATAAACACTTTATGAATTATACTTAGTGAAAAGTAGCTATTTAACACAGTACACTGCTGAAAATCAGCGGCTAACTGACCGGAACAGTGTAACATGGGAAACAAACAAATGTGTGAATCCTGTTCATGTCCAGTTCATCAGAAAGGACTTTAACATTATTATGTTTACTAAATGATCTCGCACCTGGTCTATGCTGAGAGGACTGAGCACAGTGACAGGCGCATATGGCGCCACATGCCCTTTTTGCAAGGGAAATGTATTTTGTTTCATTTTAAACACTGTCATATAATGTAAATGTGTCAAATATAGGTCTGCTTTGCTTAACTTCTTAACTACGACACTGACGTACTCACTTTTACCAAACAGCTAGCAAATATCAACACAACGCCAGGCTTGTGAAAAGAGCAGTTATAAAAAGCAGTTTACCATGACTTATGTGGAGTTTTCTCATCCACGGATATATCTGAGGCTGTGTTGAGTCGGTGACATTTTGAGGAGTTGATGGTGCGCTTCCCGCAGCCTTCTCTTCCTCAAGGGGCGAAGCTTTGGACACACAGTCCCGGCTGAGCAGCAATGTGCCTCCATTCGAGCTCGGGGTCGTTATGGAGTTTTTCACGGCTCTGTGTTGAGACTGAGACTCGGAGACTGGGGAGGAGTTGGCGACCGAGGAGCATGGTAGAGGGTCAGGTGGAGGCGACAGAGACGAGGTCCCGGTGCTGCTGGCGGACTGGGTGTACCTGACTGGTTCCACCGAGGGTGTTGTCGCCGCTGAGTGACTCGGGGAGTAGCCCGGTGTCCGCTCACTGCCCACAAAGTGTCCGGTACCAGCCCTCCCGACTGTTAGGTCCATCCCGTTGTAGCCATAGCCGTACCTGCTGGAATGCATGGCGGCTGAGTCTCTGTATTGCTCGTTTGCCGTACTGTGGTCTCCATAATTATGTAACTGGAAGTCCGCGCCATTGGGGTAGCGACCGCAGAATGAGTTCACAAAATAGGAGCTCATTGGTTGACAATTCCAGCGTTGGCTCGTTGTAAGTGTTGTTGTTATATTTTATAATTGGTTTTGGAGGTAAAACAGCATAAACCCGTGTGCTTGATTTGTGGCTCTTATGGTTTAGCGCGTCCTATAGCACCCTTGCACAATTTATGATGAATTATGGAAATGAGTGGGACATGGACTTGATTCTCTCTTACGTAGGCACCCAAATATGGGGTACGGCGGAGAATCACGTGCTTTTGTTGACCAGTCGTAAATCCTGCTTGGTGACCTCCAGAGGTAAACTCGTGCACGCAGGAAATACTGGGTGGGATGTGAAGGGTGCGCGCCTCCGTGAGCTCGTGGCTAGGGCAAACTCTGATCCAGGGTTTGGCTGTTTTGAATTGTCGTGGCGCGCCATCCTCTGGCTCAACTGTTGCACTGCCTGTCTGCGGCGCTTTCTGAGGCGTGGGCTCCATATGGGGTCATTCAGAGGTTAACGACCATTGCGGCAAAAACCAACGGGCTCCTAAACAATACAACAAGTAACATGCTGAGAGTGCAATATCTGTAAAGATAGTGCACAGGAATAATTCGATTAGAGCATTCTGTGCATGTTATGAAATGCGCTGAGTGCAAATAGTCAGAGCGGTTAAGAGAATAAAAGACAACACAGGCTTGTTGTTTCATACTTTCTTATAATTCTAAAACAATTGAAGAAACACTCATTTGGGAAAAGTGTAGTGGATAAATGTTACGGGGAAAAGATAAACGCCACATTATGGATTAATGCCACGGAGACTGCTAGTCAGGGCCTGTTCTTTATGTCACTTTGAGAAACCGATAACTGTAAATATAGGCTATATATGAACTCAGCAGCAGCCACGTTACTGTCTATATAAGCTAGTTAAAATGTAACGATGCCATACAACAGGCATTTAGATGATATTACAAGCCTTTGTCATAGTAACCCGACGATATGTTTGTCTTATTTAACTGCCAATTCTCTGTCACAGTGACTTTTACACAGGGCCTCTTACCAAGTTCCATTTTTAGCATTGTATATGTTTGTGAGATAGCCTATCAACACAAGATGAAACATAGCGTGTCATTTCGTTTTATGACGATCTATGAAACGTGGAATTTAAAGAAAGACGACAGACAAAAAAAATACAATTTGACATAATTGAAAAATAGAAATGTTACTGGCGATTAATGGTAATGAATAAAGTCCGTGCATTTGAAATACCTAATGTAAAGTAACACAAATATATAAGCATATAAAGGTACCAATACAAAGAACCATCCATGCAGCTTCTTTCCATACATTTTGATAGTAAAGTAGGATTCTTAATTGGTTATAAAAAGAATCATAGCCAAAGATAAAAAAAAAACTATCTTAAAGATCTTATAAATAAATAAACGGGTTGCAAAGTGACTCTTCCATTCAGAAACCTTGACAGACCTGAACAATGCGTTTATCAGCAATCGACTATCTTCATGTGGGATCTGAACGAGACCAGAAAAACAAAGGAGAGCAGCACAGACATGAGGCCCGCGGAGGCGCCTCGTCCAGAGTTCTCCATTTGGTTTTCTCCCTGTGGAATTTTTATGGCACCGTCGCCAAGAAGCAAAAGCAGTCGCTTGTTTTCTCCTTTACCTGGCACAAGGCCGATCCTGTGTTACTGACAAAACTGCGAAATAGAGATTATTTATTCTGTTACAAGTACTTGTGCACTTTGCAATAAGAAACTCCCAGAAATCAGTGTGAGGAAGGGGCCCCCACACCCGAGCGGGCACACAGTAAAAGGGCCAACCTGTGCGGAGAGTTTGGACTAAACAGTCAGGCTCCAACAGCTGATTTATGGCTGGCCAATGAAAGCAAAGTTCCCACGAAAATTATTTGCCCTGGTTCAGCCAGGGACACACCCAGCAACTAAATAAGGACAGAAAGAAAGGAGAGGGAAGCCTGTTGTCAGACATGTCGGGATGGGAGCGAGGGGTCAATGACAACAGGACGCAGTGCACTCTGCAGGCAGCATCACACACTAGCACTCATGAGTCTGGGGGCATTCAAATCAATTCTAATAATATTTTGTTTTATTTTATGCCGAGATGTCATTATGCGCACAGACCAAAACCCAGTACTCAAATTCAGAAGATCATCACATTTTATGGGATATAATAAACAGTGCAATTCGCAGTTTCTTAGCAACAAGAGAAAGAATCGGGTGTTTGGTGCAACAGCAAATAAAGAAGACACTGATATGTCCACGACATAATAATAATAATCAATGTGATTTTTTTAAAACGTTAAGAACACACCTGCGGTTGTGGAAAATGCTAAACGTCCATATAAACATTACAGTGGGTGCATTTAACTACACATCCACTTTTGCATTAATAAAAATTTTCAAAAACAATCTATCTGTGTATCTTCACAGAACTTGTTTGCCTGATTGACTAATAATTTATTGCACGGTATAAATCATTGTAGCACAGCAACTAACACCAAAATAGACACAGCAATATTTTCGAATAGAAATACTTTACATTTTTAAATTCCGTTCCCAGGGACGATTCCCTTGTGTCAAGTAAAGGTTACTGAATCGTTCAGATAACTGTCCTGCTTATCACTGCACATTGGCTCAGGTTCTGCATGCACCAATATAAAGTACAACACGTATACAAACAAATATAAAACAAATGCATGGACTCGCAGATTAAAAAAGGAGGTCGACTAGTCTGATGTTGTCTGACCGCAGGCATTTGCTGCAGAACAGGCAGAGCTGCAACCACAAAGTCCCCAGTGTTTCCACAGGAGGGCGGCAGAGAGCACATCTTTTGGGCACCTTCCACTCAATGACTTTTGCAGCCGAAAGCCCATCCCAGTTTAAATCAACAAACAACAAATAAAGTCTTCGCTGCATGCAAAAACCGGAGGACGGATCAACACAGGATGAACCAGAGAAAGAAAGAGATAGCGTCAGTCTGGTCAGATCTACCATCTGTCTTTACCTCATAAACATTTAGTGCAACATGAAATCTGACCCTTCACAGGATTTCGAAATAAGCATATTTAAATGGGAAACAAAAAAGAAGGGTGCGCAACATTTAGGCAATTATTTGTTTAAGCTGTTTGCCTATATGCATATTACTAAAACGAAAACACGCAAACCTCTGGCAAGTCTGATGTGTCTTACCTTGTGGGTGTTTCTGCTTGTAAACAGGGGAGTGAGTTGCCAGGTGCAGACGGGCAGAGGCGAAATTCTCCAGCTGTGTCCCATGATGGAAGCGGGGGCCCCGGGAGGTCAGAGAAGCACCGGGGCACCTTCCTCTCATCCTTCCAAAACATGCCAGGAGACCGACAGCAGACACCCAAGCAATCCGGTCATGCGCCATGACAAGCGCCAAGAAATCTCATCTAAAGTCCAGAAAACACGGAGCTGAGAAGAGAGTAAGCATGTAGAAGCTCGCTGATGAAAACAGCGACGTGGAAGCTGGAGCCTGTTAAATGAAAGGCTGCTCTATTCCGCTATTGGAAATTATATATGAAAAGTTCATGTTCACGGCTCCCTGCCACGTGACTAGCTGGGGCCAATAGGAAGCCGAGCTGCGTCGTAAAGTTGCATTGCTATGTTGTAAATTTTCATAAACAACAGCGGATTTATGACCCACCGCTGGAGGGTGAGATGGGGGACTGGTGCTGGAGGAAGGGAGGGAGGGACAGAGAAGGAAGGGCCGGGTCACCGCCAGGCGCCATTTTACCGAGGGAAGAGGGAACAGAGAGTTCAACAGTGATTCCCTTTCATCTGCAGCTTGTCCCATCTCGCATCCTCATAGCTCACATTCCCCAAGTATAGCGCTCACTTCTCAACCCTCACAATAGACTGCAACATGTCATCTAAGGTGTGTACTACTCCGCCTGTAACAGATTACTATTGTTATTCAGGTAAGTAGTGCGCAAACACTGACTGCAAAATATTCAATGCAAACTACATGGAGAGATAAAAGCTATTTTATTCAAGTATTATATTTCAATTCAGACATGTCAGACATTCCCAGAGGCTGATGCATTTTTCTATTCCTATGTTCACACACTTATCACTGAAAACGTGCGCGCATTGCATTTGCATATTTGTGGATTAGAATGGCCTACTCATGTTACACTGTCAGAAGAAGGAACCTGAAATGAAGTGCTATCTAGACAATAGTACATGCATTTATTAGTCTGTTATTTTTCACAAACAGGGATGAAATTATGAGCCTAACATGAAATAAGATATAAACGCAACATCTTCCAGTCCACATTACATTAGGGTATTCCTGGGGGCTGTCTGAGGTAGATTACAGAAGTTCATCCAAAGCTCGACAGAATGTTTCTGTTGATTCAGGTACTGACTGGGTAAAAAGGCTAATGGCTAAAGTACGTAACGATACTAAATCTAAATGTAAAGAAGCGTCTAAATCACAGTTGGAGGCATTTCACTAACAAAACATTCACTTTTCATTTGCCTGTTTTCAAGGTAAGGCACATTTCCGCTGCATGTTCTATTTGTTCTCTGAAAAATAAAAACCTTGGAAAAAAACAATAACAGATGAATCTATCATCAGTGTCTGTCTTTAATATTAGCAGGTTAAAATTATTAATAGTTTGTCGTTATAGGAATGTTGAGTCAGTAGTATAATCAGATTATGTGTATATAAAAATATAGTTTGGATAGGTAGTTCATCGCTCTGTGGCGCGGGGCCTTTTTTGGATTTCAGGTTTAAATGTGAATTACTGATCTGCAGTCTGTTGTTTAATGCTTATTACACAATTGCCTTCAGCTGTCATTCAGTCAGTCAAGTTACAAAACTCTAGTGCATTAAAGACACGTGAGAGAACATCTTGGTTTGACCGTGTGTCTCTTTCATTAATGGTTTTATTCTTTGTCCGTTTCTTTAGTTACTTTGCAGCTGTTTCTGGCTCCAAACCGGAGCTTTCTGGATCCGCGGCCTCCGACACCTTCTGAACACCACCGTCCTGTTCTTCGGGGTTTGACTCCGGTTCGTCCTTGTGGTCTTTCTTCCACTTCATCCTGCGGTTCTGAAACCAGATTTTGATCTGTCTCTCTGAGAGGCGGAGGGCATGGGCTATCTCAATCCTCCGTTTGCGGGTCACGTACCGGTTGAAGTGGAACTCCTTCTCCAGCTCTAGGGTCTGGTACCGGGAGTAGGTCTGCCGTCCCCGCCTGCGATGAGGATCTGTGTGAGATAAGATGTGCTGGCTGTGTATAACGTGCAGAAAATCCGTTTTCCCATGTATTAAATACGATACTTTATAAACTATTACTTGAAACGGCGTCGAAATTGTGTTTGATAATAACAACTTTGAAACATCATGAGTCTCATTCATTTATTTGTAATTGACTATAGTCACAAAAACGCACTACTCACTAGGAAAAATGTGCTATTACAAAGCTATGTGAACCCATTTAAAGTGGTCTTACTGGGGTGTTTGTTCATGCCTCCTTTGATACTCTGCATGTTTTCCTAATTAAAAGCCAGCAATGTTCTCCGCAACAAAGCAGCCATACGTAATTAGATTACAGCCCCAGTACCTTCCCCTTGAAAATGATAGCATGATCCAAATTTCTTGCATTTTAAATTCACCTGACTTTTTAAGGCAGTGGACAATATGGTGCATATTGATTCAGCAATGTGTACAAACGAGTTTCAGAAAATACCAGAAAATGCCTATGCAGTGCAGACCCAATTAGAAAGGAGCTGCAGAGTGAAAGAGAACTGATTTACACAACTGACCGGTCTGTTTTACAGCCACAAAGGGGAAGAAAGGCTAAACGAGTAATAGGAGTGCAGAGAAACCCCCAGCGGCAAGGTCTCTGCGTACTGAACACAGAGGCGCTGGCCAAATGAATTTATGGCTGCAGAACTCATTAGTTGCGCAATAAAAGTTTTACGATTCTTTCCATGCAACAGCAGTGGCTTCACCAAATGAACTGAACCACCGACGGTCTGTGTGAGCATCGCGGTGTTTTGTCAAAGCACTGAGCAGGGGACTTAGGAACAGCATACAAGACACATTATCAGCACATACCTGAAGCTCTCATCCAGGGGTACATCCTGTACTGTTTGTCCGGCGGTGACGTGAGAGGTCCCGGTCCCGGACTGCAGCAGCTGTCGGTGAACAGGCGGCTTTGGCCAAAAGGGCTGCACTGCAGTGTGCGTGCGTCCTGCCCCTGGCTATAGGCCGAGGTAAACATGGGGTGGCTCTGGTATACTGCATTACTGACGCTGTAGACTCCAGACAGGGACGGTGCAAATGCGATGGCCGCAGCAGTCCGAGCCGAGTCACAGTCCTCTCCACTGGGTCCAGTGCTGCGAGAAGCCCGCTCTACGTTTGGGAACAGAGAACTACCCGCCGTATATTTACTAAGAAGACCATCCACATAATAAGAACTCATATTTTTACCTCTCTGATTTGTTGGCCCAGAATCCTCAGTGTCGTTTTTACGAGGTAATGTGATATATGACAGCAATACACCCTGGATTTACACCAAACCCCATTTTTACTCTGGACCAAAGAACTCACCCACGTGACCAAGGCCTGGCCGCTCTCATCCAATCAGCAGGCAGACACATATTTCCTGATGGCGCAGACTGCGGAGTGGAATTAACACTTCCAGCACACACACATTAGAAAACACAACTGGTACAACCCCAGTGATCTAAAGGTAATTTAAACCATGTACTTTAACATCATGCTTTTTAACCACCGTTATCTCTTTACTTTACCAAAAAACTCTAAAGAATTTTAATCCAGTGTAGACCTGCCTTTGTTAAAAATTATATATGTCGCTCCAGTAAAACAATTTGTTACAATAAATATGACCATAAACAAAAAGATAAATTGACTTCTTTTGCTTTTAAAATAAATGTGTGTATACAAACACACACAGCCTATACAGCACAACGTACACGTTTTTCTCCTACAGCAGGTTTGAACATTCGTTCTGAATAGTGTGTGATCTAACACAAAATTCTTGAGTTGAGATTTTGGCCGTGATATAAATGAAACCTTTAAAGTGTACAAATGAGTAAGAAATAATGATGATAAGAATAAGGACTAATTCTTCCATTAACAGCCCATACACTAGCATAACGCACGCCTACAATGAACACACATAAAGATAAAAGAAAGCTAATAGTCAGAATAACCGTGGTAGCAACAAGTGAACAATAACAACACATCACTATTATTATCTTCATCATTTCATTTTTAATACACGCCAAACTTGTTCAATTGTTTGTGAACATTTAAACTACTATTGATTGTGATTGTGCGGATCAGCCAGCTGTGTTTTCTGTGGCCTAAATTAAAATTTCTTTTATGCTAAGATATCTTTTCTGGGAGATAAAAAGATTAGGAGATTCAAATCGCGATCATTTAAATTAATAAATGCAATGAAGAAACCTATTCACATTTCACCTTCGGGTCGGGTTATTATATAACTTTCTAAATAAGATCATTTAGCTTTAAATGATGAGCGTCCATGTAAAAACCAAATAGAACAACAACAGTGAACTGTAGGCAGGTTGTTTCCTCCTCCCCTGCGAAGCCGCAACTTCTGCCCCGAGACTATAAAAGGTGTGAAATGATTTTTGCAGAACTGTTAAAGTATTACTAGTTTGGTCCCCAGTGAAAGCTCAACCGGGAGGAGCGGTAAATGCAGTAGTGATGCTGTGGAACAGTGTCGCCATCCGCTGGCGAACTGTAGGGACTGCAGGGTGGGGACAGAGGACAGGGCGGAAATACGGAAGAAAAACATAGTAGTAGGCCAATTTCTGCTCAAAGGCAACGTTATGATTCTTTGTTTTACTTTAAGCCAAGCGCTTTTTAAGAACGTTTGGTATAAGCATTATTTCTATGCCTACTAGTGAGGCTGAGAGTAGCTGCTGGCTTTATTGCTCCTCTCGTTTAGGACAGGCCTAACAAAGGAGCAGAGGGCGGAAGGTTCCCAGGTAGAAACAAAAGATTGTCAAAACGACCGTGAGTCGTGCACATTCCCGTCGGGGAGAATCCAATAAAGCTGATCATTTCCGCTGCACCTTTTGTCCAGAGCGCAGTCCCACAGAAAGAGAAGAAAAACAAATGGCAGCCATTCTGGAAACGGCCTAATTGTGTCCGCACGGCCATAAAGCCATTAAAAGTGGAATGCCAGACAGTATAGCAGAGCAGGCGTTTTATTGCGCTGTCTTTGGTCGAGTCTTTGAAGTTTGGGTCCATCTGCGTCCCCTAACGCGTCACAACAGCTCTCCAGGACTCAAGTCCGACCTACACTCTGACTACAATAAGCTACCCGTTTCTGTGCTGGCTTTACAGAGACCTCCATTACCTGCTGGATGTGACAGAGCTGCCCTGTTACTGATCGACCAGGATCGTAGCAGTCGTCATATTTCCTGCTTCTCCTGTTTTGGATATCTTTCCTTAAAGATTTGTTTTTCCCAACATGCAGAGACTTGAACTAGCCTTTCATATAGAAGCAGACTTGTTCAATAAAACCTTATAGTGTTTTTTAAGTGTTTCACCTTTTAAAACAAACTATTTTATTTTAAAATATCCGGGGAAATTGTAGGCCCCAATTCAACGCATTCTGTCACAATGGGGAAGTTCCTTCTGTTGATTGTGTTGACAGAGCTTTAGCCACAGCGGCCTTGTCCTGCCTCAGCTCAACACAAACATGTCGGCTGCATTATTTTGAGCCGTGGAGGCTCTGCACGTCTTTTTGTTCTGTGTCCTCTGCCTCGCAGCGCTTTGCACCCCATAAAAGGTTCTGTCCGAGATCCAGAAACACGCCACACACACACACACACACACACACACACACACACAAATATTCATCTATAGATGTTTGCATTAAATTGGTTTGTGTATGCGTGGGTGCGTGGGTGCAAATACAATTGCAGGAAAATATTTAGAAAGCTTGTGGATACATGTCCATTTGCAGTATCCTCAATTATCCAAATGTGTAGCAATGGGACTAAATAGTTGACGGCGATTTAAACCTCACGTGTTTTGCAGCAGCGATTCAAGAATCCCTTCGTTTCCATCAGGGCAAATGAAATAAGAATGTAGCGCCCATGCATTCGCAGATATAATTTGTTTTATTTAATAAATAAAGTACAAATTACATTTGTGAACCAAAAGTCAGACGGTCAGCAGACCGTGAGGTATTCAATAAGTACCCTACAATGTTTCCTTTAATTTGACTGTCACTAATAAACATGAGCTTTCAAAGTGTTACTCCCTGATATTCAGACACAGTTCAGCATCTAATGCAAGCAAATCTAATCGGAAGAAATTGGTTATTGTAGGTAGTTGAAAGACATAGGTAGTCAATCATGTAATATAGCTTCTAATGGATTTGAACTTAGTAAGATTTCCAGGAGGTTTTTGAGGTTTGTCAATATGATCAGTCCGTTTTTCTACGGTTCCAATGTTAGATTCACACTCATGGTCATCGCTTGTATTTCTAGCAATAAGGGAGAAACAGCAAAATTATTTTACAAACTATAAGTTCAGGTATTTCTGAGATGAACAACAAATATAGCTACAAACGAGAAAATACACACAACTAGAAACATCCACACACACAAACAAGCACAGGGACCAGGCCAACTAACACTTTAACGAAGTGTTAATTAAAATCAACATGAAAACGAAAATAAAAAAAACAGTGGGCACTGCTAACACTGTGCAATATAAAGGTAGTCGCATCAAACTGAAGCCCAACATGCTTTTTTTTAACAAGACAAACAAATCTAATAGCTTCCATTATATAGAACAATAAGACAGTGGAATTTAGAAGAAGGTCCAGCAGAGTTACGAACTTTCACACACAAAACTCGCTAAAAAGCCTAAAAACTGTTGATCTACGGTTCAGTCACTCATCTTTCGGTGCGCCGTCTTTATTAAACTTCTTCATCTTCATCCTGCGGTTCTGGAACCAGATTTTAACCTGTCTCTCGGTGAGGTTTAGCAGCCTCGCCACCTCGTACCTACGGTCCCTGGTCAGGTAGGTGTTAAAGAGGAATTCTTTCTCCAGCTCCAGGATCTGGTGCTTCGTGTACGGACAGCGCTTTTTTCTCGTGGCACTCGCGTGGAGCCAGTTGGACACTGGGTTATCTGGAAAGAAAAAAAAACATTGGTGTGAGGACCCGGTGCTGAGTGGCCAAATGTAACAACACACATTACTCATATTTGGGTCAGATCAACAAAAACCGATGTCATATTGTGATGAGGAGAAAATAGGCACACGTGTACACGCAGCTACAAACCCCCTGTGTAGATTTCTGACTGTCGTTCACTGCTCACCTTCACTTACAAGGCTACAAAATGGTAAATACTACAGCAATGGTAGTTGGGCCATTAAAAGTCCTCCATAAGGAAATGGAACGTGCAAAATGGCATCTGTTCAGACGCGCACACCACTCACTCACAACTGTGGTGTATAAAGAGTTTAAGTGTAAAGGACTCAGCAGTGACTTACTTGGGTCCAGGCCCGGTTTCTCTTCTCCCTCACCGCTCATGTCCGCCGTTTGGCCGGCCACTGAGTCCTTTTCCACCGGCGATGCCGTCGCCACCGTTCCGTTGGCGTAATCAGAGAGCAGCAGCGCTGTGTGGGAACCCGGCAACGCTTCCTCAGCTCGCGGTCCCAGACCCTCCGGTTTGATTCCGTAGTGTTGGGTCGTCGGTAATCCAGTCATGGGCAGGGAACCGGACATAGGTTCCAGCAGCCAGGACTGATAGCGGCCATCTGTATCTGCACCGACCGAGCTTTGGGGGTGCCCATAGTGGTGATGATAGAGAGAGGAGACGGTGCCTGGGAACTGAGCTGGGACGTGGCTCCATGACGGCCCGAACACCGGAGGTTTGGATGGGAAGGTGCAAGTCCCGAGTTCGCTGTGGTCGCTGATGGAGGAGGGCTGCCTGGAGTGCTGGAGCCCAGCACCGGAGGAGTATCTCGGTACAGAGAGCTCATCGCTCTCAGGCAGAATGAGGGAATCGACGTAGTAACTAGTCAGTGTTCCGGATGTCGACATGGCAGAAAAATTCTTTCACATTTACGCAGTCATAAAGCAGATACATGCAAAAGTAAAAACGCACACACACACACACCACACATACACATACACATGCAGTAAACCCAGCCTCACAAAATAACAATGTGGAGAAATCAAGTAGCAACTTGGCCCCACAGAGAACTCCAGTGGGCTCCTAGTGGGGAGACAGGCTGCTATGCCATTGGATAGGAGACACACGTGATCATCAAGGCTGAACAATAAAGGATAAATCAATCCTTTTGCTCATTAAATACTCACTGGCTTCTACTTTTAAAGCTAAGAATAATCCAGATTTGACTAAATGTGGTATTTGTAAGATGGCAAATGTGCAGTAAAATTCTTTTACAGTATTTCAGTCAGTTGCTGCTGTTAAAGTCCAAAATGATTGTTTTTGTAAGCCTTATTTTATGGGGTACCTTTATAGGACACGTATAAGCACCCTACCACCGCTCTCCAAAACATTTTAACCACTCTATTAAGAAAACCTAACATAAAGCTCAAACAAAGTCTGGGTCTGAAATCATGTTTGTACCAATAGTATTTTATATATTTTGTTCTATTTCGTCGCTTGTATCAGGTATGATCGCACATATATGGTCAGCTTCAAATATCAAACATAGCAGAGAAAACAAAGGTCGTAATCTGCCATTTAACATTTATCTATATAAAGATATAGGTCTACGTCGTAAAACATTTCCTAAATCTTATATTTTTCTACAATAAAAATGTAATTTAGACAAACATGTCAAACATCTAATAATCCATATTAAAGTATACACGCAATTTTCGACAAAATTGCGTGTATACGCACATTTCGAGTTGGAAAAGATTATTTCTTGAGAATGGAAAATATTTTATTTTGACATTTTCATCCTGGCCAACAGAATATAAGAAAGGGAGCATCAGTGTTTTATTTTTTTGAAGTCTTGTTAGTTCCACTTTAGACTATTATTAGTTTGGTTATAATTACGGTGTGAAACCACAAGTGTATATAAATAATAATAATACAAATTGTGTTATAAAACAATGTTTTACACACTAGTCAAAACTCTAAAATCTAGAGACACAACAATTAAATGGTCACAGTGGTGTAGCTACCGCAGTGTGCGAAATAATACGAACTCATTTCCAAAACCAAAATGATGATGCATCCCGTTGGCTCGTAGTTAAACCCTCCGTTTACCATTATATATACACGCCGTTATGATTTTAAATAGGCAAACCACTGCCGTTAGCATTTTCACTTTAATGCCTGCTAGCAGCCAGGGCTTCGGTGCAACGTTACGCTTTAAATAAGGCCAAACAATATTCCTAATGTGGCGTTTGTGGTTTCCTCCTTTTTAAAAGTGAACGCTGCACGGACTGGAAAGCACTTAAAATATAAGCTAAGCTGCATATGGACCAACAGTGGCATTAGGAAATGCAGTACGCTAAATAAATACTTAAAGAAACTGAAAGGAAGCTGTCCGTACGCCTTTATACTGAAAGAAACTATAGGCCTATAAATAAATGCAGACAGGTGAACTCCTATCATTGTAAAATATACAAATAGTGCAAAATACATTAAACCGAGAGATATTAGAGGCTACAAAAGGAAAAATAAGAAATAAATAACAGTAAATTCACACGTTAATAAGACTTTGTGTTTATTACTGTAAAACCTAAAGCTCAATGTGAATTTAGGAAAGTGGAGTGGCTGTGTGTCTAAAACATTACAGCCTAAACCTAAGCTCACCGTTGCAGAGCTACAAACCAGCAACCTTGAATTCTCACGCTGCTGGCTTTATTTATTAGGCCACCAGGATCTAAACGGAGAGCTTGGCCAACACCCACCATGGCCAGCACACCAATTCTCTCCACTCTGCTGATTCTATTGCAACCTGCATTGGGGCACAAAAGACATAAGGTGTCCATAAACAAGTATTCTGGTTGCAGGCTATCGCCTCACTGGTACTTTGGTGCACATTATTTGGCCAGCAGACATCAAACAAGCTGAGGCAGGGGAAAAGACTGGTTGTGCGCCTATTTGTGCTCTAAAAGTTAAAATAGATAAACACATCCAAAGCAGGAAAAGGCGCCACTATGCCAATGGCTCTCAGGCTGTAAACCTAAATCAGGGTGTTTTTTTCTCCCAGTTTACCGCAGGGGCTATTCACTTCTTTTGCCTCTGGAGATAACAGCCTGTCTGGCGGATCTAAATATCGCCATAAAGCCCTTCCCCTCCTTTTGTCTGAGCCACTATTGCGCAGCGGAAGCATCCGGTCTCATTGCCCACGGAGGTCGCTGTTGCCCCATTCACCTTCCCCTTCCCCTCCACTGCAGTGGTCGTAACCGAGGCCTTGTCTGGCGTGTCTGCGTCACTGCTACTCACGGAAAACACTCACGGCTTTACCCTTAAATCCCTGGTCCACGACGCATACTGCAGCTCAGCTTTGATCACGTTTACATTCAGCACACATGCCCGCTCGGGTTCATTCTGACGAGACAAACCAAGTGTAGTCATGTCAAAAGAAAACACAACAGGAGACAGGTTAAGGATATACACAACAGCCACCAATGCACCCCTCCCCGAGTTATAAGCCAGGCAGGTTTGCAAGATGCTTCCAAACCTCCTCTCCACAATTTTCAACAAATCCCATCATCTGTATGTTTCTGATTCGCTTTCCATTTGGTTGCGATGTATGTAACTGGGGCAATTAAGACAGTTTCATGTTGCAGAGATTGAAATGGACCCCAACAACATGAAACTACCTAAACCACTCGACAGTCGATCCGGGCCTGAAGTGAAAACACAGTCAGCCAAATTCATAATGCACCGTCGGTTCCGTCATCAAGTGTCCACAAAAGAGTACTCAGAAAGGATTGTACACACACTATGTAGTGAAGCCGCTGCAACAAAGCGCAAAAAGGACACATTCACAAAGATGAATGGACTTACCCAGGTCTCCAAATGCTAATCCTAGTATTTCCAAATTAAAGCAGGAGGTGTTTTATCCACAGTTGATCTGTATAGAACAGATTTCTAGCAGGGAGTCGGGCCTCCTCTCCGTCTGAAAGGCTCTCCCACGACTGAAGCTGCTCTTAGAGGAGAGGGAGAAACCTCATATAGCAGCCAGTCATAAAACTCTACAATAGCCGGCTGGGCATGCAGCTAAACGGCTTATAGCATAATATCTTAATTATTTCCGATGGCCATTACATTACCCCCTAGACACATTTCATAGCTGCTTTACAAAAAAAGCCCATGTTAATTGGGATTTTCAGTTTCACATCCTTGTCCTCCTTTTTACTTTGAAAAACATACGGCCACAGTAAAAAAATATAAAAAGCTAGTCCGCAATGCGAGCTGATAATTTATTATGCATTACACAAAACACAACGTCATATGTACATAAATATACAATAAAAACATTCCCTGTTCACTCTGCGCACCGTTTTCCTGTAAACGTCCTCAGCGTGAATAAAGATTCAGTTTATACATTTAGCTCATACACAGATTAGGTCTATATCAAGGTGGACTACATCTAATCATCTAATGGTCAGAGGTGAGTTCTTCTTCTCTTGGTCAGACGTGGGCATCACATTCCAAAGTGGGTTATACTGATTTTAGAAAATGTACGAAAACTGTATACAATGCAATTCCAATTAAAATAAAATCAGTCCTTATTTGATTCATTTTCGGAAGAGATTATATGTGGGGGGGGGAAAGGGGGACCTTCCAGGACACGACTGTTATTTAGATTGCATTGATTTAACTCCATTGACGACACTATCCAACCATATTGACAGAGGTGACAGAAACGGGTCGACAATACAAAAAACACACCAGAAAGCAATGAAACAGAACCAATAACGGTGAATATTCTTCCTTTTTATCAGTAGCTCACAGCGGGAGATGCATTAACATCAAGCGTGTCTGGAAATAAAAGAAAGTTGTACCCCACAACAATGAAATGAGTCACTATATGGACCTTTGTGTGGTGGCGTGGGGGCTGGAGATGGGGTGTAATTGATTTCACTCATTTTCCTCTATTTCAATATGATCACCTCCTTTATCACGAAAATCCGTAGTTGGACGTGAGCTCCCGGATCCTGTTTTCCCGTGTCATTTTCTTAAGTTTCATCCTGCGGTTCTGGAACCAGATTTTAACCTGTCTGTCCGTCAGGTGGACGCTTTTACTGATCTCTAGGCGGCGCTCTCGGGTCAGGTACATGTTGAAGAGGAATTCCTTCTCCAGCTCCAGTGTCTGGTGCTTGGTGTATGGACAGCGTTTCTTCCGGCCGCTTTTTGCCGTCAGCCAGTTGGCCGTGCTTTCACTTTTTGTGTCTCCTAAAGAAAATGGCAGATATACATGATTTGACGCATTGCAACACGAGGCGCTCTGGTGTGTATGTGTGTATGTGTGCGTGTGTTCGAGAGAAAAAAGAGAGCATCTGGATGTGTGTGTATTTATGTTTGAATTATGCATATATTAGAGAAACAACAGGGCGTGTCTTATGCGTAAAGTAGCCTATGTCTCCTTTGTTAGAATTACCTGAGTCGTAGATGACACGTGCTAAAAATCATTACAAAATTTTAGATAATACTGAATATAACATTTAGCATCAACAGTCCAGTGAAACATGTTATTTTTGTACCATAACAGGGGTAAGATTATAGAATTGACATTGTACATAACAGTATGTAGGCCTATACTAATGCCTATAGGCCTGTGTAGGCTTCTACATTTTACGCATGTGGTCCAACAATAAATACACTGTATCATATGTATCATATTGTAGATGACTTAAAAATTCCTTAATGTCATTTCACACTGTGGATTAGATCAGTAAAGCAAACCTAGCTTTACCCTATAGTCTTTTATCTCCCATCTCCTTTTGTCCTTTTTAATTAATTAATTTACATTTTGCGCATTATCTGTTTGGACGTATTGGTGCACAAACGCAGAATTTGAATGCATTTGCAACATAAAAACAATTCTTTATAAGTGCAATGTCTTCAGACCTTCGTCTTTACTCCTCACTGCAACCTGATCAGCAAAATTAAAGTTGACAGGGCGCCATGAAGAGGCGTCACTCTACCTACATGCAAGAAAAACAATGCAGAACCACACCTACGATTAACTGTGATTACCTTTAGCGGTCTTTGCTGATCTCTCTTTGTCCTGCTCGTCCGCCTCCTCAGCTGAGGAGACCTCTGTATCAGAGGACTCTCGCGCCTCCTCGGTTCCCGGTGCAGCGTGGGGCTGCTGGTCTGGTTTTCCCGAGGACACGGGCTCATCGGTGTTCCTCCCTTCCTGCGCCGTGGCTGGAGTCGAGGTTGGTGGTGTGTGGAAACGAGCAGGAGCAGTGGGGTGTAGGCCAAAATGAGAATGGGAAGGGTTCGGCTGGGGGCTGTTGGTGTTGTAAAGTTTATGAGAATGTGCGTGCGTCTGAGACAAGCGGAAGTAGCCCGGCACAGGCACTGAGCCCCCGCCGCCATCGGTGACTGTACAAGAACTCGACCCGAGGCCGGCTGTAGTTAACCTCGAATATGTAAGATCTTCCGCGGTGGAGGCTTTGGGGCACTTCGGCTGCTCATACAGACAGTAGGTGCTTTCTTCCTTAATGTTCTGAGGGAACGTGCAGGGCGCGACCTGGGGACCTACCGGGTGCTCTTGGTCCATTCGACATGACCTTTGCGCGTCCATCCACATCTCCATGCTGGACATGTATGTGCCTGGGGCGGAGACCATGTTTTGGGGACCCACCTCGGTCCGCTTACCCATACCTGGGAAGTATCCATAGTTATGTAGTCCGTAAGGCACTTCTGCGGTGCTGTGAGGTACGCACACCGCGCTCCCCGCGTAGTGACCTCCGCCACTGTCTGTGCGGCCACTGATCAGAGAATCCACTAAAAACGCATTTCCTGACGGGCTGTCCGAACATGACATTATTGTGGTGTATTTTAGCGGAGGGAGAAGATAACCTTTTCTGGCTGACATTTCTTGTGCAAAACATGCTGGATATGATTAGAGGCACCCCCACTCCACCGTGTGGACTGTAAAACCAATAGAAACGCTTGGAGATGGGCAGTCCCTCCCACTCTGATGCTACGTAGCAGCCGGAGCGACATCCATCATGGAGCTGAGGCAGAGAAAGGAGAGAGCAGAGCAATCAGTGTGTTTCCTAACCTCGCCTTTATGCACCACCATTAGCCTACATCGACCAAGGGGCGAGGTCCAACATGGTACAAAGTTTAAAAATATTTTTATAATAAAGTCTGAAATGCTTAAATGCATCCTGCCAACAACCACGCGGAACACGCCACAAATTACCAGATGATGTCCAAAGTACTGACTGCACCTTATCTACATGCAAGTCAAATGTTACACACAAACCTCATACAATAAATGCAATAGTTAGAAACGTCTGATTTATATAAACTCCAAAACTTTATTCCTGGAGGTTCAGACATAAAAGGAAACATCCAGACTCATTTTCGTTTCAGTCGCATTAAAACTACTAGTTTACACTAAGGACATATGGAGTTAAGGTGGCAAATCAAGTTTAAGCTGCTGAAACCCACCAACAAAGACATAAAACAACAAAGCCATGGGACTTGTAATGTAACGTGGTAATAAAGCGTTTTAACTGCGGGGAGAATTTGCCTTTGGCAGAGTGACTGGGCAAAAGAGCTGTTTTAAATAGTGCATCTCGAAACAGGCCGAGCTTTTCCGCAATAAGGTAACAAGACTAATGTTGCCTGGTGGTACAGTAATCCAACTTAACACTTAATTAACGCGCCAACTAGGCTACACTACTAGTAAGAACAGTTTTCCCCTTAAACTTTCATTTATTTCTCCACAGGTTGACGTTGTTTAACTGCGTTTTTGTACTGTATAAAATAAAATAGAGAATTTTTTAACCCTGCTGTTTGGAATGACTTTGAATTATATAAAATTCACTAGGATTTGCACAACTGTGTACGCAATAGTAAAGCAATTTCCTGTCAAGTAAAAGCAACGAAAACACTTCCACAAAAAATAAACAATTTAATATTATGACAAATGGTTGTATCCTTAAAATTCCTAATACTATAGGACATACAGTAATGTTCTGAGAGGAACCTCTGACTTTATTCAACCCTGTATTAGTCACAGTTTTCCCCGTAATTATAAATAAAACTTAAGTGCGTGACCTAGAATTTCACATCTTGCATTAAAGTATTACATTTATTTTTCATTTTAAGCATTTGAAATTAGGTCTGCTCTAGGAATCCGTATAAGCATCAAATAAAAAATTGCGCAAGTGTCCAAATTTGAATATGTGAACCTTCTAAAATGGTGTTATAAAGAAATAGTCAGTGTGCCATGACAGAGCAGACATAAACCTTTCACATACAAGTCATCTTGTCGGTCCAATTTTGAGCAATAAGGCTCACAATAAAACTCTTCTTCCATCTCGTAGTGTCCTTGGCCATGTGCAGTCTATTGCTCTCTCCAGGTGGAAGTTAATCTCGGCCGGCTTTGCCATTACCAGGCCCAGGTGGCTGCTATAGCCCACAGTTTGTTTGTAGCCCGATGTACCGCAATGAGGAAATTTGGGTGTAATTCAAACACTGAAACCACTTAGGTTTTCGACCGCTCCGTCACTGATACCGCATTTATGCACACACTCTTAGATTTTAGCGCGTCCACGGTGGACATTTGTCAAAGGCTGCTGCTGCTTAAAACGCATACATTTCAAAGAAATGGCTTGAAGCTGAGTCCAACCTATTTATGCATATCTGGATATGATATAACAACGTATTTTAAAAGCATAGTGCTATATTATAGAAATGTATCAACAAGCTACAGGGAAATTTGAAGGGTGTTTTAAAATCCGTAGGTCGACAGCGTCCCAAACATCACTACAGCGTTAGCCTACTATATACAGTCAATGGCTATAGGTCTGAAGCATGTGTACCTTTCCTCACAGTGGCCTTTTCCTTATGGGACAACCGAGTCCATAAGGAAACTGAATACATCAATTAATAATGTGCGCACAGTATTAAATTGCTTTGGTGTGCATAGTTCGTGGTGTTGTGCTGGCATCGGGGCCTGTCGATATCTTTGTGTTACAGTTATTAATTGTAGCTATTAAATCTTCATTTTCACAGTTGTCTAGCCATTATACCCTCAAAACCGTTTACTCTGACCACTGGCTTTGATCAGGCCCATATAATTATGGCCGAGGAGGCTGTTTGAGTCGCATCATGTTCGTCTCGAGTGCAGTTTATGAACAATAATGCGGAGTTGTATTACATCCAGCGGAAGCATTTATTTTTCACCAGAGACAAAGAGGAAAGAGATTCGGTCCTCACTCATTAAGGCCCAGAACAGGCATTCGAGCTGACACCAGATATCCTCCGAGCAAAGATCTATCTCATTGACAGGAAGGAAAAGTGGAGACGCGATTGCTGCTCTATCTCAGTCGAATCGTAGTTTCCTAATAAGAGCTTTTACGCACTTGGCACGTGCAGAGAGTGTGCATTGGAAGGATGCACATATTGTAAGGGCACAAAGGAATATGGCTGGTTCCCGATATTGAGCTTTTTCTCCCCTTTGAACACTTTTGAGTAGGTAAAACCTCCACGGCTTCTTTGAAGAGGAGGAAGACAAAGAACAATTAGCACACAAGTCAGCTGCATTAGCTCGAGAAGCATGTGAAATTTTAAATCATTTGTTTTATATTGAGCACACACTGCTCACTATTGTATCGTTAACACATTGTATCCATTGTTATCATTAAGGCAGACTTTCCCAGGTTAAATTAGAAAGCGTTGTAGATCTGTCCATGTACAACCCAGCCGTGCTATACTTGAAAGATTGAAAAGCCCGACCTCATTGAAGTGAATAGCACACGCAGCACGAAGGCTTGGCACAGTTGTGTTGCCTTATTAAGGACCCCAGTAAGACGTTCTCAACCGCTCGGACCAGTGAGCTCCACACAGAAACTGGAAGACTAATCCGTTCCTGTCTCAAGCGAGCAGGCCAGGCATGCAAGAGAATCGACGGGCTGAGCATGCAAAAGGATTATTCCTGCAGCAGAGCAACTTATTCAAGCTCGAGGCTGACAACAGCTTTTACCTGTTTGCATTCGAGGTAATCTTGGAGAGGAAAGGATCCTCGGCCATGACATTGGTCCCAATAGCGCCGCCCGGTGGTAGTGGCGAGTCTAATCCTGTGTAGAGGCTTTGCTACTGCACTTACTCGAGGTGGATAAACCATACGAGACGGAAAAGCCTCTCAAATGAAGTCAGTGCAGCCAACAAGCAAAGGCTTTCCTGTCCGTCCTCTCCCTGTGGTTGCTCTCGCTTCCTTGGTAATACAGTTAATAACCTTGGGTCTCAGACGGTTTATTGCACTACACTCCAATTGTACAAATGCTCTAGACTCTCAGACAGCTTTTATGGCCGCGTTGCTGCGGCAACGGGGAGGATGTCCCCTAATTAGGGACGGAATTCCAGCGCGTATTAAAGGATGCGCAAGGCAAGACTGGACTATGGCAGAGAGAGGCAACCATAAACTTCAGCCTCTCTCCCTGCGTTTATGGCCCTTTTGACTGTCATATATGAACGCCAATGCGCTGCGGCTAGCTCCCATAAACACAGTGATAACAGCTGCAAATATGGCGACCCTACAGCCAAAGGATAAGGCAGCTGCAGCAGCGTTTTCAAAGCCAATCACCCAAATGAAAGCTTGCACACACCGACTAAACGGAGAGGGGGATGGCGAGAAATGAGCAGAAAACAAAACATGTACATGTTGAAGTGTTGAATGTTTGGTAAGAATAAATAGCATGCAGTAAGATAAAGCGGAACCCGTGAGCTATACACCTTGGATCAATAATTAAGGTTTTCTTTAGATAAAAGGCAGGAATTACAAATATGTTATATGGCACAAAATACTGCGACACATGGTTCAAGAGCATCTGAAAACAAAACCACCAGAATAAGAACATTTTATATCTTGTATATTTATTTATATATTTGAGCTCCATAAGTAAATATGTAGGATTATGTGACAACATTGATTAACAAGAATAGACTGCTTTTAATTTAATTTGTTGCTTTATTAAGTTTTATCTTAAAACATAAACCCGTTTAATTTGCATGAGGTAGAGAGTGTGTGTCACCATAAGCAGCTCTGTTTATAATTTGCCCTCAGATGTGCTACACATTAGTGTTTGTCATTGTTTTCTACATGCTCATGCATGTAATTGTGACAATTGTGAAATAAGCGTGAGTTTAATTTGTTGATTTGGCGTGCGTAAAATGTTTCACTTGTGGGGAAAAAAGCCCGTAGGGGAAAATGATCACGCAGAAATTGTTTCCAATAATCTATTCGTTTGTTGTGTTTTTTTTTTTTATTATTATTTGGAAACATAGTATATTACACAAGAATGTGGGAGTATCGAGTAATTGATTCAATGCAATCACCCTGACAGCACACCTAAAAGCTTTTTAGACTGCACGAGTCGTGAAAAAATATTGTGCTGTGCGTATCAGTGTCAGACCGAAGAGGCCGATAGCCTGCCTTTGTGAATATGCTGGGTGTGTACCTATGTGCAACTCCACACGGATCCAGTGAACGAGCTTATCTCTCTGGTTTGGTCTACATTACCAACACTCGACTGATAGTCTTCAAAAATCTAAAGGACAATATAGATTTTGAATTTGAGGTCAGCCCAGTCTCAACATGAATCCCAATGGCCTCTCAGTAATAATGGACCTTGATTTGGTTAGCCGTGGCATTAACTAGTGGCTACAAAATAAATAGGCACACAAAACAGAAACACATTACATTCCCATCCGATTGGACTCATTATTTGGTCATACCAATGTAGATTCAATCATTAAAGTCACATCTGCGCCGTCATCCTCAATCCACTTTTCTGATTTTAAAACAGAAAGTCATATACGTACATCTTTTGATTACAAAATACACTGAGTCAGTCAGTTTGTGACTGCTATTTTTTTACCCGCGTGAAAAGAAAAGAAACAAGGCGTCTGTGAGTTACAATAATACTAACATTGGCACACAAATTCTCTTTCTCTACATTTTTTCCGAAGATCGGAATCTCGAGAGCGAATTCAAAGTCCTCAGACTGTCTTAATTCATGCTCAGTCTTTAGATTCATTCAAATCACATGATATTGGTGTCCTCGCACTTGAAATTAACCACTGAGCAGTTGTTCCTGCCCTCTCGGCCACCGTGGTATACAGCGTACAAGCCGAGAGTCAGTCAGTCTGTAAACGCAGTCAGCCCCACAGCAGAGGACTACCTGAACTGTGACTGTGCTGTTCTGGCCCCTAAAGCAGAGGGTTGGATGTATAATATTGTAATCTATCTCTGTTCAGTTTCTTCTCCTTCATGCGACGGTTCTGAAACCAAATCTTCACTTGTCGGTCGGTGAGGTTGAGCATCCGTGACAGTTGCAGGCGTTTCTCCTTGTTAATGTATACACTGAAAAAGAATTCTCTTTCAAGTTCTCTGATCTGATATTTGGAATAAGGGCACCTTTTCTTGCGGGTCCTCTGTCCATCTGCAAGGCACAAAAACAATGAGGATAGTAGTCAGAGAAAATATACGCATTTCAAATTAGCCATGACCACAACAAGATTTATATACTTTGGAAGTCACTCAAATTACGCATGAGCGGATTTCCTCTATTTCCCCATTTCAGCAGTTCAAGTGTCATATGTCCTGATAATTATATTATACTGGAAATATTATCAAACCATTGGCTGCTGCTTTGCTTAGACAATATACCTGGGATTTGACCTTTTCCAGCAAATGAGAACAATAAGCTCACTTCAAATAAGCAACTAATAGGTACAGGGGAAAAAAGAGAATTAGTTGTATCAGACAGCTGATATGCAGATGTACAATGGAGCACCTACTCTATAATAGCTTTAACATAAGAGCTAGTCTGCTAAACCTTAAACCAGAGGCACCACCCTCACATTACGTGCAAGTGGTCTTTTAACGCTATAGAAACCCTGAAACAAGCACGTTGATAATACATGGAACAGGAATGGAGGAATTCACACTAGAACTAGGTGTTTGTTGAAAACCTCAGGGAGTGTATTAGAAAAAACACTGCCCTGCCGTTTTTCACGGCCAATTTCAATTCCAAACACGTGATCCTGCAGTTTACAACAAAGTTTTGTTGGCCCTCTATAAACCTTATATGCTTATAAAACAGCATATATATTTTTAACAGCAGTGCGCAAGATTGCAAACTTTCTCTCATAACCTAGGCGCAACCTTTAATACTTACTGCTGCTGCTGCTGCTGCTGGATTTCTCCTCATTGTTGCCGGAAGATAACTCTGGGCTGCTTGTCTCATCCGGGGGCTCCTTTGCTTCGGTGTCCCGGCAAGGCGGTGCTTCCTCCGGCGCTGAACCGGGCTGTTTGCTCGCCGTTTTGTCCCCTGAGTAGCCATTTGTGGAGGAGCTCTCCGATGTGTTCCCGTACGCAGTTTCGTAAAACTGATCAAAGGCTTGTGGCAACACGCCATTTCTGCCCACGTTCCCGTAGAAATTGGAGGCAGTGGAGCCGGCGCTTGTATGATGGTGGTGGTATGCGGCTGCAGCAGCTGCTGGGCTGTTTTTACCGAACATGTCCCCTACGACAGCTGTCTGCGCCGACAGACAGTCCCGGTGCACCATGTCTTCCGTGCTGGGATAGCAATGGGACAAGTTCCCCCGGTGCGGCCATTTCCCAGAGGCGTCAATAGCGGCATAGTCCCTGAACGTCACCTCTCTGACCGGTTGGACCTGCGGCAGGTTAGAGGAGTAGGAGTATGTCATGGGGCGGGTGGACGGTGTCTGGGATAAAAACGAGGGAAGACCGGAGAAATCAGCCCCCGCCGAAACGTAATAAGTGCAACTAGGCAAATACATGTTCGATCCGACGGGGACCCTCTCGTCAAAATCCATCATCGTAGTTCACCCTCTACTATAACACTATGTTGGGGTTGGGTTCCTCTTTAACCGCCCTGAACATGGCTCTGAAGAGCCGTGCCTCTTGCTTCTTTGAAGCAGGTTCGCTAAGCAGAAATTTGGAGACGTAAGCTGACGTGGAGAGCCATCTCCATCCACTCCACAGAGGAGGAGATCACGTGACCACGCGGCAGAAATTGACAGATTTTTCCGGCGGTGTGTATGTGTGTGCGTGCCTGTCTGCCTGCCTGCTTGTGTGTGCAGAAAAGAAAAAGAGTGTGTGTAGGAATGTTGTGCGTACTAAAGCTTGACAGTGGTTGTTTATCGCCATGTCGACCTAAAATGAGTTCCTTAACGTGCAACCAAGTCAGAAGAAGAGAAAAGACTAACTGAATGCTGGCTTCATGAATTTCAATGGACGAGTTAGCTGAAATACTAATATCAATACGCAGATGCTCTGTGCGTATCCACACTTAGTCTGTCCTGGAGTCTAGGCTCTTCTAGTTTTCCCCGTTTTAAAATCATCCATATGCACTATGAAATTCTGCAGAGTAACTTGTCCAAACTCTACCTTACAATGAAATCAATTAAACTAGCATTATCGTGCACAGATAACAAATCTCAATTGGAGGAACGGGACAAGTGGCTTATCTCTAAAGTCTGCTTTTAGAAATATCTCAGTCGTCATCCTTTGATGGTTTTACAACATAACATTTGGCCCAGTGGACATTTGGTTATCAGGGTCATGTTCAAAGTAGCGGCTAATGTTTCAACTGCTCACAGCCTCGTGGTTACTACCAGTATACCAAAGACCAAAATTAAACTTTGACAAAAATATACTGGAGGAAATGTTCAAATTCATAGTAAATCGAATTCACTTTTAGTGCAAACAAAGACGAGGAATTTTTGACTTTGCACCAATGAATAAGAATTTTAAAAAATATTAAGATTACTATTTGAAACCTTTTTATCATTGTTATATTTTGTAGTCACAGCAACAAGAAGCTCAAGACCGGCCACAGGCTTACTGTGGAAAATGAATGAATTGGTGATTAAAGTTTGACGCCCACAGCCATTACCACAGTCTGATCAATAATTAAATCTTGTAAACTCTCTTGACAATAAACTTAATCTAATTGTAAATGAACCTTGTCTTATTGCTCTGGTTTTCCTTATGGATTAATTAACAGCCCCAAAAGCCGCGACATTCAAGCTGGCTCCACTTTTACGCACAACAATTTCTTTATGCAAATATTTATAAATGTTTGCAGTTCAGTAAGAAGACAGCTTCCAAAATTTACAAGACACTTGTGTATTGAAGAATGATTTCCAAAAAGTCCCCATTTATTTTTTTCTGTTTGTTATAATCACGCATATATGCACACATTTGTAATGCATCAACATGAAATCCAAGAGGAAAACACTGGCTTTAAAACACAGAGCTGCTAATTTCAAAGTACCTGTAGTAGCATACATAAGGGGCATTTTAAAATCCTGAATGTGAATATCCCAAATGTCTTCAGGCCATACTTTGGCACCTGAGAAAATGCAGATAATTGTGTATCAAAGATTTGTTTTGCACAGCCACTAAAGAAAATAAAGATAACAACTAAGCAGCGTATCCACACTGTGTTGAAATGCAGAGACGTCTTCTGTTTGATACGATATCCTTGCCACACTGCCCTCTGCTCTGAGGCCATCCTATACTTGTTTTGGAGAGGCTGCAACCTGACTCTAATGTGCTGTGAATGAGAGAGCTGAGTTTGGATTACCACCGCCGTGGCTGTCCGGGCCCCACAGACCGATGTACACACGGGGATCCAAGGGGCTTCTGAAGACATGTGAAACACAACCTTAAAATATCACACACACACACACGCACACTAGGATGGTGCAAGTGCCAGCTAACGCTCTGAGTCTATCAAAGCAGGAAAAACCATGAAGTGTGAATCCTATCCACTACATTTTATTCATATGAATTTCAAGGATACAAACAATTCCAACGTCTTTCCACCACACGCCCCGCCTCTAAGTCAAAGCAGACAATTTCTACGAGTTGTGCTGAAGCTTTTAAGCTGTAATTGAGCTCAGGAAGTCCAAGAAAACCAAAGCCAGCTTTACACAGACCTGCGTTTTATAGCTGCTATAATATTCTTTTTTTCTTTCTCTCTCTCTTCGGCCAGACAGACACTGCAAAACTTGCCAAGTGTGATTTGAAGTCGCCACCTACACGAACTCAAGGTCAGCAGCTGAAGATTTTCAACGAAACAAACATTTTATGTATGTAAACAACAAAGGTAAGTTTTCTACTTAAAAATAATAAGCTTCTCTCTAACCACTGGACTAAAATTACTTTAAATTGTCCAACTTCTTTTGAAATAACTATGCTAACATAGAGACCATGCATAACAAATTTAAAAGCCTGTTTTCTGTCAAATTTGGTTTGTTTTAGAGGAAAACGTTCAGCCGATCGTCTGGCCATTCGTCTTGTGTGTGTGTGTGTGTGTGTGTGTGTTTTGCTCATCAATGCTGCGCCGTGTAAAAGCTCTCAAAGGCAAAGCTGTACGATGGACTTCAAGTTCGGGGGAGGGAGAGGGTGTTTCAGAGAAAGCAAAGGGTCTACGGTGCCCCGGATGGACTTCATTTAATTGCTTTTGCATTTACGCAGGCCTCAGGTTACAAGATAGGCTGATAAAATGAACATTACTTTGGCACTATGGATGAGATATGTAGGCCCTGAACACACTGACTGGTGTAGGCTTGAATTGAATCTGAACAGCTCTCTTTATTAGTAAACCTTGGATACTAACAGCACAATCAACTTCGGACAACTATCAAAGACACTGAGTTTGATCTTATGTTTTATGCAAAGAAAGTTGACATTTTCATGTTCTAGACCAAATGAAAGGTGGCCAAAAATAAATGCAGTCTTAATAAACAGTCCCACAAGTGACTATGGAGGAGATTTGATGCAGAGTTAAAACAAACCGCTGTTTATTTGTGTATGCACGCACATAAACTGGATTAACTTTGTTAATCATATTAACCTTAATACGAACAATTCTATTATTTCACAAATATATTTTCCTGTAGGTTAAGAGGAACTCCTAGGCTAACAGAAGTTCAGGGCTGTGTCAGTAAGAGAATGCAACAAACAGATTGCCCAATCCTTACACCATAAAACCTTGTTAGACAACAAGCAAACAATGACGTGTGGGGAGGTTGTGAAAGTACACTTCAACGCCACGACAGGTAGACCTACAGCCTGTGAAAGAGACTAAAGAGGCGCATTCAGTCTCTTTCAAAACCGCCCCGGTAGTTTCAATCTTCAATTGGAATAAAAGACAAGAGCTTTAGAAAAGGTTGTTTCATTTCCACATTATGCTTAGCACACACACACACACACCGGTGTCCATCCACTGACTATGTTCGTTTTCTCAAAATGGAAACATTGTGTTCAGTGTAACCTTCTGAGCAGGAAACCGAAATGACACACGGACAATCTAAATATACAAGGAGGAGACTGATGCTAACTTTCTACCACGTAAAACGCAACAAAAAGAAGACTAAAATAAACTCAGCTGACGAATAAATACATTTCCTGTCCAAATTCAATCAATTACAATATCAGTTTAGGCCACGTTATTTGCAGATTTACAGATCTGACCTATGAGATTTTTTTTTAGAGTGTTGTTGAACTTGAATGGTAGGTCTACTTGGTGTTGGCTCAGCCGCACAGTGCTGCCTACACTGAAACCAGGTTATAAAACCATTAGACTGAGACATGAACCAATCAGTTTGCATTTAGTTGCGTGTAAATGATCGAGCCAGAAAATATCAGTATATTTAAAGCTAATTGAGCGAACAACTGTTGATGTGTCCACAGGTAGTGGACGACAGAGGGGCCTGGCGGACCACACAGGGGCCATGCAGAAAGGTGACGTACTCCACGGTCAACGGGAGCACACCGACAAACCAGTGACTACTGGCAATGCTGGATTAGCCTGTGGCTGGAATCCTGGGCAACTAGGTGCCAGGAGGAGACACAAAGACACGGGGAAATTATTTTACATCCGAAACATCAGAGAATGACACGTGATCGGGTTTCGACTATTTCAAAAAGGAACTACTGCATCAGAAATTCTTCGTCTTAATTTCTTATTTCATATACAAAAATATTAATGTCCAGTTTTCGAATTGTGCGTAAAGATGAACTATTTAATATTTTAGATGAAACAGCGTCGGTTGAGTCCACTGCGTATTGTTTAAAGCGTTGTCGCCCTTGAACACTAGTAAAGATTTTTGGATGGCTCTCAACACTAATGCGGAAGCTGACTCCAGATATGTTCTCCTACAACATTCCTCCTTCGTAGATGTTAACATGACATTTGGAAAACGTTTAAGTCAATCCAGTTTAACACTTAAAGCCTATTCCAATTTGAAAAATGTAGATGCCATTGTTTTCTTTTTCTTTTTCCTTTTCAAATGTGATTGTCTGTGTTGAAGGCCAGTATCTAGTTTCCATTATACTGTGACTCAGGTTAATTCGAGGGAATTGAATTGTACAAAAAACAAAATCTGCTTAATCAGATTTCTTGCTTTTTACTTAAAACGTATGAGCAGCATATATTATTTTAACATCGCTGTTGTTTCGGACTTTTGGATCTAAATTCAGTTCATAACAGGCGAAACTCACGACTGGATAGATTTTAGTTTCATTCACATATTTTAACTGACCTATGCAGGTTCTCATAGAAGACAGCCACCAAATCATCATCCACCAGCTTTTCCAAAACCTCTAGGTGTTTTCCTCGATCACTCAATCGATAATGCATTTAACATATGAAAGGACCAAACTGCGTTAGAATGACTGGCATTCCCATTTGATTTTGAATTAAAACAACAACTTTTCATTAAGAAGAGCAGGCTATATGTCCTGGATACAAATGTGAAGCATCTGGAGCGCTTTTAAAACAACCTTTAAAGAAGCAGAAGTCCATATCTCTTGGATTTGTGTGTGTATTTTGTGGCTTCATCACTGCTGAAGCAAAACGTTACGCGAAGCAAACAGACCCCCAGCTTTATTGTAATGCACTACACATAGTGTAGAGAATCTTTGCTTTAAAACATCCTCCACTAAACTATTTGGTATTTGTATTTCAAGCCAAAATGTGATAATATGAAGTCAAAAGAAAAGCCCTCCCGCAGTGAAATGAAGTGCCGCCTGGGACATGGAGAAGGCTTTCACATAACCTTGGTCAAGTGTTTCCATTTAACCGCTGTCACGGTCTTGGATAAACTCGTGTGTGATCAGGCCTTGATTAAGAGATTAGCCTCCAAACTGGTGCTTCCAAGCTTGACCAGAGCTATAATGTGGAGTGGCTGAATATTGCGGGCCTCGCCTCCATTACGCACAGAGACAGTGAAGGTCAATGTAAAGAGCAATGTCTGGTCATGTCTGCACTCAGCCACAGCTGACAAGCAAACGAGAGACATATGGCACCAAGCTGTTTATTAGATATGTGGATTATTTTACCACTTAAATGAAGGGAACTCACCCAAGATATCATTCTATTCAGTAATACTGAGTTTTGACATAGAATTTATACAAACTATCTCTGATGATGCAAAATAGTCTTTTTAATTAGCAGTAAATAGTCATTTTCACTCCTTGGTTAAACATAGAAATGATTAAAATTACACAGGCACATATTGTTTAGACGCGCACATTAACAGTTATTCTTTAGTTATTAATACTTTCTTTAATAAAGTAAAGGTGAAGTGATGTGTGGAACTCTAGGAACAGCTGTTTACATTAAAATGGTGTGAAACTAATTGTAATTCGCCGTTTTCCCTTAGTGTGGCAGCAGAACGCACTTCTTGCGCACTGATCCACCACAGCCTCCCATGTTTTTCTGCCACAGTCGCTGGGCTGTCCCATCTACGATGTGTCATGAGAGGGGGGGGGGGGGTAGGCGGAGCGTTGTGCTGAGATCTTTGAACTGTCACGTAATGGCTCGGGCTGGTGGGCGGGACTTGCAGGTTTGTTTTGATCCTCAGCAGTCCAACGAGATGCTGCTGTGCGCTCTCACAGCCAATAAGATGCAGCTCCGTCACTCTAGGAAACTTCTGCTTTAAAGCTTCAGTTCTTCCGCGGTTTGGGACTCAAGACGCACCGAGTAGTCAGACATCACTGTTCTCCCATCTTATAGTTTATGGTGTAACTCGTGTTAGCCCCTGCGTGCCTACGTCATAAGATGTGGGAGCTTGGCCGGTTTTCTGTGACAGCCCCGAGCAGCACACACCCTGGGGTATGTCCGAATCAGCCAGTTGGCCGCGTGCATGTCACGAGCACCATAAATCATCTACAATCAAACGTTCAGCATTACACCGTAGATGACGATCCTGAATGAACGCTTCTGTACTTGTTGTACGTTTGTGGTTTTTATATAACTGTGAAACGATTAGGCTACATGCAACTTTCATGTTATTTAATATATGTAAAAAAGTTTTGAAGTGCTAAAAAAACGATGAAATAGGCCGAATAGGCCCCATTAGACCTTAAACACTCCATAAAATCTGTTGATATACATTCATACACACATAAGAATCGAAATGGGGAAATCATTTTTAAGTGACACTCAGCCACTCAGTCGCTACTCAGACTAAAACTGACACTTATACCAGAGCAGATTAATTAATCTTAACAGGTTGGAAAGCCACGGTGTCATGTCTGATATTTGACAGCCAATAAGGCTGAATTAATAAAAATTAAATCAATAAAAAAAACAGGCGGGCTGATGGGTTTTTGACTGCAGCTGCGTTAACTGCACTTAGTCACTAAAAAGCAGCAACAAGTAAATATTCACAGTTCCCATAACAGTCGACACTGAACAATAAGAGGAACTGGGGAATGAGTAAAGAATTTTCTCAAACAAGCTGTTTGCAATGTTGTAAACACCAGAGAAAAGGTCAGTGAAAGCAGCAATAAGCTGAGATGAAGTTGTCTTAAAATACGCTAAATAATCGATTTTCACGCCAAATTCAGCGGCAACAATTTTTATGAATCCACCAAAAATTTAGGCTGCCAAGTGAAGCTTGAATTAAATTTTCTTTAAAATAAAATTCCGTCTCTGTGGCTGAGAGTAGGATTATGTTTGGATGTTTATCTTATAGCTTTCACTGAAAGCACATAGAAATTGTAAAACCAGTCTACAATCACAGGGATCGCATAAAGTGATTCCTACAGGGATTCAGACATTTTATAAATATACAGATTTAAGCAAAATGATGGGGAAAATGCCGCAGGTGAATGCTTATGTTGTAGCAATTTTTAATAGTACAAAGCAGACTGATACTAGGCCGTGTTGTGCGACCAATGGCCTAAGTACTGTTGGAGTCACGCTATATATATATACTTAGTATAACAGTATTTAGGCGATTGCTTGTTGTTAGTACAGTCGCATTGAATGTGAGGGAATATTGCAATGTTTTAAATATGTTAATTGTAAATATATGGTTGAATTTTCTTTATTCTTCAGTCTAATCTTGTATGGGATACGTGTTTTCCCATTGATAATCCACTTTTTGCTGTCACCAAGCCGTCGCTAGATGGCGACGTCGGCCCATATTTCTGCTCAGTCCTACTTCAGTCCTGACTGGTTTCCTCTCTTCCCAGAGACACTTTACATTTCAACTGTTTTAATTCCAAAATGGAATTTACCTGTCTAATTTTCGGGTCGATGGTTACAACCCCAGCAAAGGCACTACAAGAACTGTTTAAACCTGATTTGTCATATGTAGAGTGTAGGGTCTTAAACATTTCAAATTCATGTACAGCAACAATGGAAGAGCAATTCCTTCCAGAAAATACGTCGAGGTTTGGTTGGAATGAAAACATCTGAGCTATCACCATCTGATGCAACGAACCGGGTCCGTTTTCAACATAACTTGGATAAAATTCAACCAAGTCCTATATTTTATTGAACGGACTTTAAACTCTGCCAACTGAACTCACACACAAACAACTTGAATAGTACCATGCCGAAATGTACTTTATATACAACCACATGAATACGCACACATTTTAAAAGCTATGATTGACACTAACACATATCCCGCACGATCATCAAAGCATTGGAATAATAACTGCACCATGTATGAATATCGGCACATGAATATGATAACACTAAACGTCATACAAGCTAAGCATGTGAGTAGGTTCTCAGGAGAGATTAATATTTAGCATTTATCACTGTCATTAAACGTGCAGATAAAGGTGTAGCTCGGTGGCGCACGCCTCTGTGCACTGGAGTGCGTTTTCTTGGGTTGAAAGTGAGCATGCCAGGAAAAACAAACCACACATACTGCAGCTATACAAGTTTCTTTTTCTCTCATTTGACTCCTTAAACGATATTTAATAACAAGTGGCAGTGAATGGAGGGTCCCGCGTTCACAGGCCTCGGATATTTAGTTCCAGATCCTCCGGAAAATCATTTGGCATCATACAAATGAATCAGGTTCAGTTAGGAACAAGTTTTGTTCTTCTGATCCAGGAGTCCAACCCTGTGCGTGCGTAATTTATCTCCCACATATGTTGACCGTAATTTAAAAAGAAAAAAGAGGAGGTGGGGGACTAGCTGATGGTTTTCAATTTGTTGGCAATTTTCTTCTCCTTTACCCGTCTGTTTTGAAACCATATCGTGACCTGTCTCTCGGACAAGCTGGTCTGAGCAGATATCCTCCTCCTTTTGTCCTTTGTGATAAATTTGTTAGCCGCGTACTCGCGCTCGAGTTCCTTCAGTTGAACCTTGGTGTATGGTACTCGCTTCTTTCTTCCACGCCGGTAGGAGCCGGAGTCCACTCCGGTGTGGGGCCCTGCGTCTGAGAAAGAAGAGGAGCTGTCACAAGCTGCTTCAACAAGTGGCTGAGCCTGACGCCCTCCAAGTAAATAAAGCCACTACGCAGTAAAAAAACAAAACAAAAACTGTGTTCATAACTGAGCTATGCATTCTCATTCGAAATAAAAACTAATTATTTCAAGGTTTGGCTGTGCAGAATAAAGTGTTAAATTATAAAACAAGTGTTAAAGGCTGGTTATTCCCTGATAGTGACAGCTAACAAATATTCTAGTAAACGTTACATTATTTGACTGTAACATAAAAATAGCTCAGCACATGGTTATCACTTTTTAAAGTAAACTAAATTTAAGCGGGATTATTATTTTATTTTGATATATACACGCACACACACACACACACACACACACACACACATACACAGGTGGGTTGACTGGCTTTTCGTACACCCAGTTTTGTACAGTGTGTATTTTGTTTGCTGCGCAGCAGCACTGTAACATTGTCAGACCTACATACCTATGGAGGACTTCCACATATGCCCAGGCTGGGGCTGCGTAAACCTGGCTGTTCCAGCCGTTGGCGGTGAGAGTCCACGGCTGGTAGCTCTCCATAGGCAGCAGAGACTCATGTCTGGCCTCTGACGGCGCACTGATAGCTGGCACCACGGGCATGTCCAGGTAACTGGGGACAGGCTGGTATGGGCCTGAAGGGTAGGTCGGATAAAAAGCAAACTCCTTTGCCCGAGAGGTGAAGTCGTCTCCCGAGGCGGAGGAGTCCATGTATTTCTCCCCATATGCGGAGGGGGGCTGCGCTCCGCACGATTTTATGCTGCTGTGATGCGACATTCTGCACGGGTAATAGCTGCTACCGAAGTACCCATAGGGCAGGGACGCGCTGGATGAATTCTGAGCTGCAGAGCAGGGACTGCACTGTTTCACTGGTTCTCCCATACCGGAGGGGGGGACGTCGCTGGAGGAGTAAGCCGTGGGTGCCAGAGACGCGGGGTGCGCCATAAGATTCCTACACTGATTTGCAGCAAAGTTGCCACCAGCAAAACCCTCCATGTTCTTACTCACTTCGTCGGAACCGCCGCCGTTGTCGTAGAGGAACATTGCCGACGGGTCGACCCAGCGAGGACGGAGGAGCAGTGACGTTGTCATAGCACGGCATCCAACATTGAAGCGTCTGGCTCTTTTTTAAAATGCCCAGAGACTGAAAAAAGGAGATACCGATTCCCAGGGAGTAAAGTCACTCTGACGCGCAAGAGCGCTGGGGTTGCGTCGTCATTGGCCAAGATATTGTCACGTGATCTGGCTATGCAAAGAGCTCGCTAAACATCATCCAGTATAGATAATTAAATAAAGAGAAATGTGGCGAAGTAAGATGACCTTACCCGTCAAGAGATGTTGGTGTCTGCTTCAGTTGAGATGGGTACCCTGCGATCATTTTTAAAAAGTAAGATCCTCATTATTGTAGGTACCTTTGTGTTCATGTTAGGTTACATTTCAGAATCCCCAAATACTTACTTTAGATGTCTACTTGAAGTTTAAAAGAATGTCTATTATTCAGGAATGGTCCAAACTTTTTAAAGACAGCATTATTTACATATGACTCATTTAAGACTGTATTTAAAATGTTAGTGTGCTGCAATGTCACAAGCAAGTAAACCTACGTTGCTTGCTGTGATGACTTGTTCGTCGTTATTGTGCAGAAACAGCGCACTCGGTATGGAGTGAAGACGTACTACAGAAAACTACACAGAATCCATATGTTTCAACTAAATTATCTTGTTCATGCAATTAGTTACGAACAACACAGTCAGAGGCACTGCGTGTTTAAAATATCACGTCACCATTTTCAGGTAAAACTAAAGAACATCGGAGGGAACGTCATGTTTAGGGGGAATATGTCAGACTCCCGACGTGTTTACAATATGCAAAGACAGAAAGCAAAGCTGTGGAGCTGGCAATGTGTGAATATACATAGGAGGCTGATGCGGCTGGAGGCCAAGGTCAAGTTGAAAGTTGCTGTCTGGCCATGCAGCCTGTCGGGCTATTCAGGCTTTGAAGGAACCGCCTGAGCTCTTGAAAAGAGCGGAAGAGGGGTGAGAATTCCCGAACCACTGAAGGCTATTGGAGGACATTAACTTTTACTATCATTTTGTTTTCGCCACCGTTTAGTCTCACGAAACAGTCCCTCTTCACTCGGGCGGTGCGTAGGCCTGGGCTTGTATGCCAGCCTTTGAAATATATAAGGAATGTTGTGTGTTTAAAGGACTTCTGGGGGTGTTTTTTTGCAGATTCGTGTGAAAATGATGTTGATCTTTGAAAAAAGGGGGGACGGGATACTCGTGTCCTCTCTCTCTTTCTCTCTGCGCGTGTGTGTGTCTAGTCTGCCTAGTTTTGTATTTGCCATCAGTGGCTCTTGTGTGCTGGAGGAAATGGACCTAGTGGAGTTTTGACTGGTTTTGTGAGCAGAGTTTAAAATGCGGCTTTGTTTTCTGGCGTTTTGACGTAATGTTTATATAAATTCTTTAAAAAACAACAAATAAATAAATAGCTGCTTTGGTTTATCCTGCTTCCTTTGATACATTAAAAGTTGAGCGTCCACACAGCAATTGTCAACACAAATCTACCTTAAATGACATTAAATCATTTCAAATCACACTGAGATACTCGGAAGTCTAAACATACAGCACATTACAATGGCCTCGATGCGATTATTCAGTTTTACAGAGAAATGATACTTGACTACTTTGTGTTGTGAAAGAGAACAGTAGTGTGCACAAGTGCAGAACATAGCGAACAGTGATGAACTAAGATCGTTTTACTTTACAGTAGCCACCAGTGAAAGGCAGTGTGTAGCCCGCTGTAGCAACGAAAATGTAAAATACGTGTATACTTCCTGTTTTGTCTTTGGCGGTGTGCATCCATTGTGTTGGGGCTGCATTGCGTTAGATTATTTTGGTAGACTATTTAGTCATTTGACTGAGAATGAGGTAAGTCCATGGCTCGAGGTTTAGTCCTACTGAAAGTCAAATTAAAATGCTGGTCAAAAAGTATCATTAATATATGCTTTTATTCTTAAGGTATTTATTAAACATTGGCTTATATCACTTATAACAGTTATGGTACTTAATATAACAACTAATAAAACCATGTAATAATGTAATACAGGAACAAAAAACAGGCATTTGTTTGTTGTTTGGGTTCAAAATGTGAAATATTTCCTTTTCTGCACAACTACAGGATCTCTACTCGTTCAACATTTCGCTTTATTTAGCCTAAGGTATTAATTCTAGTTCACGGTCAACATGTGGTTATATGCAGTGGTAGAAAGTAACTAAGTACATTTACTCAAATACTGTCATTAATTACAATTTGAGGTATCTGTACTTTACTTTTCTGCTACTTCCTACTTCAAATATTGTACTTGTTATTTCACTACATTTATTTGATAACTTTAGTAACTTTCATAATCACATAATACAACATATGTTTGTTGATTAGTAAAGTTCTTCGAATTATAATGTAGTTAATATTAGCTCCACCTATAGCAGCTGCAACCTTAGCGATGTGCACATTAATTGGGCTACAATGTGCATGAGTAGTTTTACCTTAGGCACTTGAAGTATATTTGAATGCTAATACTTTTGTATTTTCACTATAGGTGACATTTTTGCTCCGGACTTTTAGACTGTGGTATTGACACGTAAGTAAATTAACCTCAGTATTCTTAATAAAACAAGTTCTGACTTTTTGCACCGCTGTCACATGTTCATGTTGTGAAATCCCAGTTAAATTATAAAGTGGGTCATTCAAAGCTATGTACACATTCTGGGTTTGCCTTTACCTTATCATATAAAAAGTCTAAATTATGAAATTATTCAGCAGCAACAACTATGCGTCATGAGTAAGTGTGCAGGGTTTAGACTGTTCCTATGGCCTTTGGGCGTTTCCTTCTGTGTAGGTCAATGGGGCTCCACACACACAAGGCTGCGTTACTCATGAAGCGTTTCATACACTGTACACTGCAGCTGTCATGTCATATGTCAAGTTGTATTTTACAGTATATCATCTATTCCTATTATAGCTGTCATATGAGCACTTCTGTTTGCAGATAGGTGTTTTCATTCAGAGAGCATCCATGTGTCATCCGTGCTCTGTTGATCCTTTGTGCATGTTTTTGTGGTCACAACAGGATGCGTCCATTCAGTACATGAGACATGAAGTATAAGGAACACATACTCCGGAGGGGCGTGTGTAAATTGTCCCGCCAAATAGCCGAGACGCACAATTCAACCATTGACTTCCGCTTAAACAAAGTGTCCCAGGGACCCTCGTTTGTCAGATGTTAATTTAGCATTGAATTCATACCATCAGTGAAAAAACTATGAAGTATGATCAGACTGGAGCGTGGTTCAGGTATGTACCAGTGCCAGTGGAGATTACCAATCGCATTTTAATGAGACTGTTCATTCCAAGGCCTCAGCGCCTGAAGCAGAGATAGTTCTATATAAACTTATCCTCAGCTATGCATTTTTGTGCTTGTGTCTATGAAGGGGCTTCTAAGAAAGGCTTAAACTACATGTAGTTCAATTTCAGTCTTATCAAAACAACTGACTTTGTGGTCTAAGCAGTGCACGGTCGCACCTGACGCTCGGTGCGTGATTATGGCAGATTACATCAAGAAACAACAGGAACAACCGAGTCACTTCATTTGTGGGCGTAGACAAGAAGCCACCCTAAAGGCCCCAGGGTGCTCCTGTGCGCTCAATGACGTTTGCCGCAAATTTCAGTCTGTTTTGGTTTCTGCAGCAGAAACTTCAAATGTCTGTAGCGTGGCCTGTGGATTAAATATGAAATCATTAGGTGGCATACAGAAATCTCGAAGCACATAAACGTCTGGATTTTGTCTCACCGAATGTTCAGCTGGTGCTCAGCTACACATCTGCTGTATTGTGGATCGCCACCGGTTTACAAATCCAGGAAGGTAACTTATGATGGAGGGGACAGAGCTACTTTTTTATAAATTGCCTCATTGTTGCAGTAGTCTGCATACAAATAACCAGGCTGTCAAGAGATTTACACAATTATAATGACAGGAAAACGTAATTAAAGCACCTATTCTCTATAGAAAGTGATCCTTCAGGTCTAGTCGTTGCATTATTATTATTAATAGTAATAATAATTTGTCGCCAACAGAAGCCGCTATGTGCGCAGCAGGATTTATAGCATAAGGCCGAAGTAAGCATTTTAAGGAAGTCAGCATTTAGCACCAGCTACAGTAGCTGTGTGAACATAAGTTAAAATAATTGGAAATATAATGTAGCCCAGGTATCACGGTTTTCAAATAACCCAGTGTGATGGGATTAAACGCGTCCACCTCTTTTAGATATTTTGTTGCTTCCTTGTTGAAAAAGGAAGTCTGACGCAAATATAGGGAACTCGTGGCACCGTTTGCACACTTCAAAATGATATGGTGGGTTTAATTATTTTTTACTCTTTTGGGGAACCTGTTCAAACCAAACGAAGATATTAGCAAATGTCATTTAGCTGCTGTCCAACCAAAGATCAACCAATCGTCATATTATAGGCCTACATGAAAATTAAATCTTTGGTTCATCTGAAAAATTGTTCATATTGGTGTTATTAGTTTTAAAACTGGGCATCAAAAACTTTCATGGCAAAATTAAACAAGACTTATTTTAAAATATCTGCTGAGTTTTCGGGACTTGTTTGATTTAATTACTTTAGGCCTGTCCTGTTATTTCATCATTTCTGAGATGTTTTCTTAATGAAACGCATATATGGTTTGTTTTTTGATTTACAATCTTAATAAAAATGTGAATTAAATTGTGTACTAACAGTATTCATTCAACCATATTGTTACTCACTGTGTTTGATAAACACTTGCCCGTTTTTACGGGAATGACAAATTAAATTTGAATTAGTGCAGACAAAAAAAAAACCCTATGCTGATTTAAAATAAAACGACATCTTCACGGAGCTTTCCCCTGTAGTAGTTCCATTAGCGGACAGAGGTTTGACTAATGCGCTTTGAAAAGGTACTCAACTCCCTGTCGGGGCTACCTGTAACACCTTCAGTCCATGGAAACCAGCTGGATGCAACCTGTGTGTTACGTTGCACACGCACATCATGAGAACCCGCACTACATGGCGTCATGTCCAAATTTACCTCAGCCAGCGGCATCCCAGTAAAAACGGTAAGGAGGACATATAGCCGCAGTGAAACTGGTGACAGCAAGACTCTAAAGATAAAAAGTCATTTTCAGCCAGTCGGACTTGTTAACATCCCCTTTCTCCAAGTTGCCAGGGACCCGGAGGCCAGTCTACAGAATTACATTTACTCTTGTGAAACGTCGGTGATTTGCACCTGGTGTTTCGCCTTGCTGAGGTTGATTTGGCGGTAAGTCACACCCCATGTTTCCCCCTTTATTGGGGTACACAGGTCTGATCTCAGTGGCGAAGCCCTTCTTGTGATAGCGATGAATTTGTAGGACGGGGAAGGAAGAACGACGACAAAAAAAAAAAAATAGATTTAAAAACTAGTCATCAGGGCTTGTTTCACTCCAAGGTCAGTGAGTTAAAGCTGCGTCATTTTGTTTCAAGGCCCTGTTGAACCAGTGAAGACGGACTGGGCCACCATAGTGAAGGCTAGACTATAGATTTTACTCCCCCCCAGGTTCTGACTCCCACGTGAAAAGCTCACCGTACGTCTACTGCAGACTCAACATCCGCCAATGTGCAAAGCACTTTTTGTGCTAAAAACAAATATTCTGGCAGGTCTGCTCTGGGTGGAATGGATTACATGTGTAGTGTGCAGACTCCATGGTCAAGTTCAAGTTGGGCTGCCTAGTTAAACTGGGGGGCGCATTCTCCAGTGTCTGCCGCGAAGGGTGAGACCCGTTTCTGACTCCCCCCTGCAAAACTAGACTGAATCACATGACTACAGTTTTCTGCTCTACTGCCACCAGGGAATCTGCAGGGGTTTAGTCATATATGTTCTAAAGACGGACCGTGATGCACAGCATGATTAGTCATTTATGGAAATAAGGCAAAAGTGTTCCACATTCAGTAAACTCTCTAAGCCCATCCGCTCTCCTTCACTATCTAAAATACACACAATATAAGTGACACTACTGTAAACCTATACAAGGTCACTCATGTGTTGCGCAAATCTCTAAGAGTTATCTCTGAATGATCGCAAGATCCCATCTGCCCTGCCCACGACCCATTGCGCAACTCCAGGTAAGTAGGAACACAGAGGGACCTTCGCCAGCGTTTTGCTCTTAGCCAAAAGATTGAATGGTAGTCTATCCTTGTGAATTTGAAAGTGCAAGTAAACCAGCGTCGCCTAAATACTGGCTACACCGTGATAGCCAGCAAAAATATCATTACACATTCAAGGAGCCGAGTGTGACTTTTGTTTCTGTGGCACAAAGACTCGATATAAAAGGAAATCTTTGCAGATTTCCATCCGGATTAGAGGCCAGCGATGTTTCTTCAGCTTCATACTGGTACATCCCCAGTAACAATCTGCAGACTGTGCTCTTCAGCTCTAACATGCTATTTGATGGTGCTCTTGGTTCTGTGTCCATATTTAAAACACCTGTTATAATAATGTAAATACCTATGAAGTTTAAACATTAACACGCCAACTGACTCATGTGTCATCGAGTGCAGTCAGTACAGTATATCACAGCTTTTGAACTTAGGTGCTGTGTCTATCCATAGGAATCTTGTTTAGCTAAAACAGACAGACTTGGATTTTGTACATTTTCAAATTGTCAGAAGAAGCAATAAGTGGTCAGAGCGTGGGGGAGGAGACAGAGAGAGACATAGATGGTTGACTTTTTTCCTTTGCGGGCCAGATAAAAGAGTCGGAGGAGAAAACCAAAGGAATTTCCCTCACTTCTCAGATGGCTGGCTGGGGGAGGGGGTGGGCGCTGCTCGGAGCCTTTTCCTCCTTTCGGACAGGCGAGGGCGCACAAGGACAGCACAGGCTGTTGAAACTCCATAGTCTGAAGCCTGCCTCCCTTTCCTCCTTCGATGGGTTCAAATGACTCCACCTCTCCGTACAGTATCATCGACATGCCTTGGAGCGGCACATCTGCATATTATGACCCTGCAGGCAGAAATATGCTTATTAGAAGTCATGCTATATTGTTATCAGATGCAGATCCTCAGAAGAAGCATTCATCTAGAGTGCTCCTAATGTCACTTTTTTCCAGTTGCAAGACCCAGATACACTCTGAATTGCACATTTCCTTATATTTGGCCTTGTAGAAGTGAACACTTGTCCTAGCTAGTTGACCCTCACAGTTTTCTTAAATAGGTTGTCATGTTGGAGCACAGATAGAGTGAACTTGACTGCTGAAGAGGCATTAGGGTCAGAATATATCCCATGGACATTCTGCGCACTGCATCTTTCACAGTTAAACATTAGGAAACCAAACGTACCAAATCTCTGTTAAATCTACTTTAGCGGGTACATCCGTTCCCTGAGGGCACAGGAGGATAAAAATAAATGTATAAATAAATAAATAAATCCGTACCATCACTCATAAAGACAATTTAACCCTATGCTGAAAGACTGCGTAAAGCAGGGCAGTGCTAGTAACCAGCAGTGTTTTTTCGCTGAAGCATTGTCACAACACTACATCAGTGTCTAAGTTTGACAGTTGAAATATGTGTGAGCGTGCAAGAGAAACATTTCTAATTTCCTGCAAATAACATAATGACAACAGGTTTTCTAACTTTGTTTAGGCGTCATTAATAAAATAGAGATGTTCCTGCTCAAATGCTGTTTAGGTCCACGTTCTGTCAGTCGGCTTCTTGGATCAACTCTGACCGCGAGACTTGACCTTTGAGGACTTCACTTAAGTTGTGAAAGGCACGAGCATGAACGAACGCGGGAACAAAGGGTGCGCGAAATCCAAATAATTAATCTTGATTCATTTGTATTTATTCAAATGTATCACAAGTACCGCGGTAATTACAACCCCATTTAAAATGTATTATAAAGACCTGAAAATCGAGATTGGAATATTCTTAGCGATTGTTGTCCCTCATTTTGCCGAACTGTGAATTCTCAGATGATAACTGAATGTTTCTTGTTTCATTGCTGCTTGCTGACAGCCTCCACCTCCACGCTGCCATTGCTCCTTCTGTTTACCCATACAGTATATCCAATCAATGCATGTCGTCATCAGGGGGGACCATAATGACGACTGGCCTATTAAGAATGACAGCTCTGGAGAAAGAGAGACACCCCCCCCACCCACCTCCACCACCACCACTCCACACACACCCCTCCAACCTGAAAATCATCGCCTTGGTTTTGACGGCTTGCACTCTCCCGCGAAGTCGAGATTTCTAAGTAGTGCTTGTGATGGAAAACAGAAAGGAGATGGGGATGCTGGCTGAGGGAGGTCAGCTTGGCAAGAGCGGCGCTAGTTTGTCGGAAGCAAACGAGACCCCCGTGCAAGAACCGCAAGCAAAGCCGGGCCACAGGAACTGTTTGAGCCCCGGGGCTGCGCCCTATTCCCGGGACAGAACCGAGATGGTGGAGGACAGCCCACGGAGGAATATGTGCGCCGATATGAGGCCGGTTGGCACATCCTCCTCTGGAGAAAGGCAACGGACTGATTATCCCCACAAAGACGGCAGCAGCTCAGACACCGAGTCGGACTTCTACGAGGAAATTGATGTCAGCTGCACGCCTGAAAGCATGGACTACCAAAAAGCTAAAGGTATGTGTAGGCTAGGTTTGGGAGCCACATGCTGCTGCAGACTTTCTAGGATTTAATGGTTGTGCTATGAAGTTGATTGAATGCCAAAGGCTCAATTAAGCCGGTCAAAAACGTCACATAGAACAGGACAATTGGGAAAAACACATTTACAATAAATGTAAATGTGCAAAGAAATCGAAAATTAGAAAGCACGCAGAGGGAGTATCATATAGTTTTCCCATAATAGCATAGCACAATACAGTGTAAGTGCAGTAGGTGCTGCACAGCTGTTCTGACAAGTGACCAGCATGTCTGGAAACACGCTGAGGTGACACCCACAATATAACCGGGAATTTTCTTCACCAAGTTTGACAATATGACTCCCTCGTACGGCAAACCTGCCTATATGCCTCATATACATACTGCAAGAGGAGGAACGCAGGATTTTATGTAAACCACAGGCAAACATTTACAGAGTAGGCCACTAATATGGATATTTTCTGGACTGTCTTTAAGACGCATGACTCAGGACTGTTATGTTACATCCGGTAATAAAATTGTATTAACAAATACATTATTAACGTCAAGATATGAATAATTTGTAGTTCGTTTGCCGCAAACCAAAGGTCTGGCAAAAACACAAACCGGTGACAACAATATAACCTCGTTAATAATCATTCTAGAAAATGAAAATGATGGTATTAATAAATGTCAATGTATTTTGTAAAATAGAGAAATAAAAATATTTTTGATAAGACTCCACAAAATGAAGACCTGAGCTACCTGTGCTATGTCAGGGAGGCCCTTAATGCTGAAAGTGAACCAGTGCATTAAAATAATGGAATTATCCTGCTTGTCCTCACATCCAAACACTTGGCAAAATGTGCACATAAACGACTGAAAATAAAAAAAAATACAACGTTTCATTGTGTTGTTTCTTCCATTTTAGTTGTTTTGATTGATTCGTTTTACTCTGTGTGACCTATCCCAAAAAATTATTCTGCATACTGCTGCAGGTCGAAATGGAGATTCTCCGGCTCACCCGAGTGATTCTGGTGCTGGCCCAGGTAAGACTGTCCCGGGTCAAGGCTCTTTGTCCTACGCAGCAGACCAGATTCGGCGGTACCGGACAGCGTTCACCCGGGAGCAGATCGCTCGGCTGGAAAAAGAATTTTACCGGGAGAACTATGTATCCAGGCCGCGGCGATGTGAACTGGCTGCTGCCTTAAATCTACCTGAAACCACCATCAAGGTAAGAGTCCTTTGTATTTGAGGAGAGGAGCTGACTCAGGCCTCTGTGGCAAAAATATTGTGTCACATTGTGTGATCTGGTATTTATAAAGCTATGTCAAATATAAAGAGCTGCAAAACTTTGTAAATTTTATAAAGAAAATATGGCAAAAGCAGCACATAGAGCGTAAAATCTACCGAGTGAGCGTTTACTGGGAGCAGAGGACTTCTTAAAAAATACCATTTTATTTTATTTTTCCACTGAAACAGGAGCAAGTGTAACAATACAAGAATTCCAAGTAAAAGAATACATTAAAGTATAAACCCACTGCAAGCCATATCCGTGTGTAAAGGCGGAAGCTATAGATGCATGCGCGCTTTTGCTATTTTGGTTTGGCTTTAAAACAGTGGGGGTTGTGGTTAATATTTGACTCGTTGTGTCTCTGTCCCAGGTGTGGTTTCAGAACCGCAGGATGAAAGACAAACGTCAGCGTCTGGCCATGACGTGGCCTCACCCCGCCGACCCGGCCTTCTACACCTACATGATGAGCCACGCGGCAGCCACAGGGAACCTTCCTTACCCCTTCCCGTCCCACCTGCCTCTACCTTACTACTCCCACCTGGGTGTGGGAGCTGGCTCAGCTCCTTCGGCCACTCCTTTCTCCAACCCCCTGCGCTCCCTCGACAGTTTCCGGATGTTGTCTCACCCCTACCAGAGGCCGGAACTCCTTTGCACCTTCAGACACCCCTCTCTATACTCGAGTCCGACCCACGGCCTCGGTCCCGGAGGAAGCCCCTGCTCATGTCTGACCTGTCACTCCAGTCAATCCAACGGCATCTCGAGCAGGCCCTCCGGCTCGGACTTCGCTTGCTCCCCAACTAGCAGGACTGACGCTTTTGTAACTTTCACGCCTTCAGTGCTCAGCAAATCATCTGTGACATTAGATCAGAGGGAAGAAGTGCCTCTGACCAGATAAAACCAAAACAACTAACTGTTGTTCTATATAAGCCTTTGCCATAAGCTTTTTAACCTAACATATTATATGATCAGGTCTGAAACAGCATGAAGAGGAAGCCTGTGAGCAGTGAAAGCCAGCTTAATCTTGGCGCAAACAATTAGCCAGATCTCCTGCGTGACGCACAATGATCTCCCATTACTGAAAAAAATAATAATAATGATACCATTGCAGAGCCAAGACAGTGCTGAAATACGACGGCATGGACACAAACTGCATTTGATTTTAGAAGACTAATTTGATGTGTGACAAAGAAGGGATCCAGAGAAGCTTTTAAATTTCAGTGATAGATGACGTTAACATTTTTATCATTACTTGTCATCTTTTTGCGCGTCTGAATGGACTTACATGTATTGCTAGATAGATGAGAATGATGCTTTCCATCTCTCTTTTTAACAAGGGGACTTGTTAACAGAGTGTGGCCGTCTCATTATATCTAGCTTTCCCCCCCCTTGCTCTCCACGGCGGCCGAAATGTGCAGATGCTAGTAAAATTAGCAAGTGGTGTAGTACGAGCCGGTAAATTTTGGGTGTTGGATTAATGATAATACCAGGAAGGGATCGTTCTTAGGAAAAGGTAACAAGGCGCCAGGGGAACGGATTACTACAGTCTGCACAGTCTGACAAGTGGAGAGAAAAGAGGAAGGACCCAGAAGAGGATGGAGAGAGACAGGGAGAGGACAATCAAAAGGAAAAATATAACACTGAACATTTCTAAGGCCATCAAACACTTTATTTTCTAGTTTCCTCCCTCAAAGATACAAGAGCCATTTCTTAAAGCTGATGAAAATGTGATTGAATGATGCTTATAGGCCTCTTAAATGTAATATTTTTCTCGCTTCATACTGCTACAGTGGCATGTAGCATTTTGTGGAAAAAACGGACTAACAAGTGACAGATGTCTTTAATTGGGGGGGGTTCTCTACGTCTAATTTGCAATAAACACTGGCAAATAATTAAGCGAGCAATGGAGTGTTTGTCCTCTGAACGTCTTTATGGTGTATTTGAAGAGCCAAGAATACCGTTTCCTAAAACCTAAATGTACTTTAATCGGAGACAACTAAATAAAATTAGATTTAAACAAGTTCTGCTCCTTTCAGGTCATTTTATTTCGTTCAACACAAGTAGGGTATTAAGGGGTTACTATGATCAAAACTGGTATTACCCCCACCCCACCTCCATCACGATCATCCGCCTCCAATAATAACGCTAATTTTGCTCTCAAGTGGTCGGTGTCAAAACACTAGTGTGGCCCCATATCTCCTGACGGGGCCGCTAGATTGAGCGTGACAGTTAAGTGGTCCCCGGGCTCTATAAACGCCACTCATATTTTCTCTGCGACCACTTAATAAACAAGACAGAATTAGTTGTCTGAAGATATTGGAAATGCAAAGAGATCAATGACTCAGAGAGGCCCGCCACCATTCAGTGGGATCTTAATTGCCCGCATTTGACTGGGGCTGCGCAAATTAAGAGTTTTCTGTGCGTAATAGGATTGGTGAGGTGCCATGGCCAGCGGACAGACACACACATCTTTATGTCATATATAGATAAGAATTTATTGCTGTAATCTGTGGGAAAAGGTGGGACATGAACCTCAAAGTATAAGCCTGCAAAAGTATTGGCCAGATGAGAATTTGTAGCTATAATCTCACAAACAAAACTGCATTTTCAAAAATACTGCTATAACCTAAATATTTGTGATGAAATGCGGTCATTCGACCTGTAATTCCAAAAAGCATGAATCTTTGCCAAGTATTCATGACCACGAACTCTGTACCCAACACAGAAAACAAGACACCAAATTCAGATTTGTATCCTCCGCTAATGATTTCTGAGGCAAAAGGTTCATTCTAATCAGATAGTACCGCGTCCACACACACACACACACACACACACACACACACACTGCGCCGATCAACCCTCCCTCTTGCACACGCCTTTGATTGATGGCCTTATTAACTGGAGTTCTTGTAAGTGTGACCGAGCTGATTAAAATGCATATGTTTGGAATAATACACCGTTTAAGCAGCTTGGGTCGGGGAGAAACCACAAGGCAGATTTATGTATACTATCAGCCGGTGTTTTTAAACATGATACGAACACGGGTCATACATGAAAATGGCTTTGGTTTGTACATAATAAAATAAAGATGAATGGATCGGGCACAGCTGAATATTCAAATGGCGCAGTCTCCGCAAAACTTTAGTTTCATAGTGGGTTAATTTTAACAGGCTGGGAAACTTGGACCTACTTTTCATTTGGTTACACAGGAGTAGGCGCACTATCACGTTCTAAACCTGCGCCACACTGTGTCAGAATGACACATTAAAGTACGGTAAATTATAACCACATTCACACCGCCACGCATATGGATCGCCATCTTTCTTCACTGCATAAACTGTTCGGCGGATTCCTCCGCGGCCTAATACTGCATCAACATGCATTTAATCTCTAGACGATTAGGTATGACTGAGCTTCAGCATTTGATGCGTTCATATAGCCTGCACACATAACAGCAATTACATCAGCCTTATAGGATCTTATTGGTGAGAATTGGCTTGGGGCTCTAGAGCATCCACAACTAGGACAAAGCATTTTGATATGGGCGGTGCAGTGCAGCTGTCCACTGACAGCAAATTCAAAAAGACACTAAAATGGGTCTGTGGCTGCTGCTACTGCTGTTAAAATTGGATTACATCCTAATTTACAGGGCCTTCTCCTAACGCAAGAGCCTGGCGGAGGCGTGGACGGACCAATCACACAGTAATGATGATGAATGGGAGATTAATGCGCATACAAGCAAGACAGTTTAAGCCTTCATCTGTTTAAATGGGCTTCCAATATCATTTGGAAAAAGGAGGTCATGTTAAATCAATCGGGGGGTGAGATACGCGTGAAAGTCGTTTTCAGCGGCGTCTTTATCAACATTATTTACGGTGCACCGGAGACAGCTATATGCAGCAAATGGCCCGGCTGCTACGTGCGTATGTGATATTGAAGAGCAACAAAAGGAGCAGGATGGACTCAGGACATAAAAAAATCCTCTTAAATAGTTGTTCAAATCGAGTGGAGACGGAATTTCTGTGTACATTAATGCAAAAATTATCTTTGTGGCCTTGAAAATGATTATCTTTAACGTAAGTAAACTCACAATGTTGGGCTTTTTTAACAGAGATTGTGTGTAACATGACAGAGCTCGTTCAAGGGAGGAAAGAATCTGATAAAACACCTTTCACATTTAAACTTGTAGGTTGTGGCATATTTCTATTGTGCCAGTGAGTAATTCAGTAGAGAATGATACTTTTTCCATAGCCCACCAACCTTCCTGCAGAGCAGACAGGGCTACAGTAGTTACACAATGGTCTGAAACACCTCTTTGCTTTAAAACTGGGAGTCGGTACAAAGTGGCTGATTTTCACATTTGGTAAATCAACCCAAAACCATTACGCACGTATGTAAACTAGACGGCAGTAGCCATATATGGCGACATTTAGCCTTAAATTCTTTGGTATGCCTACCAAAACAGTTAAGCTAGCTAGTGCATATGTCAGCCAGTGGAGCTAGTACATGTAGTTTATCCAATTTCAACACATTCAAATAAAAAAGAACATAACAGAAAAGTAACATATCCATAGACATGCAGAAAAGTATTAACTGTTGCATATCTAGTTACTTGTGTTAGACACAAATAGATTTATTTTATGCACTAGCTGGGTTTTGTTTGTTTGTTTGTTTGTTTGTTTGTTTTTTGCCACTGTAGGTAAAACGCTGGACCCTACCATGCAAGTGGAACGTAAGATGTTAAAAAAAGAAAAAACAGTGCAAAGACAACACTAAATATAGAACACATATTTCACAATAGATCAAATACGCACCTGAGCATGAATTCAAAGATGTAGTGACATACAGAAACCAAAATAATATCACAAATCAATGCCATCTTTCCTCCCCACCCCCCTGTTCGTTAATATGGTTTGCTCCTGGAGCTTTAAAGCACGTGTGTGGCGCTCTTGGACTGTTTTGCCCCCACCCCCAACCACTACACCCACTATACCCACTACACCCACACCTACCCCAGTTCAGTACGTTTTAGAGTGAGTTTAACACCTGAGCAGATAGCAACTATTTTCTTATAGCTTTAAGAGGCATTTAATGATTGGAGCAATGATTTGAGCTTCTCTGTATCTTTTGATTCTACCTCTGCTTTCAAGCGGAAATAAAGCTTTGAGTGACATATCCCAGATTCTCCTGTGTTTACAACTGAACAAACATGTCAGTGTCCTGTAGGGTACTAAAGTGGCACACCAAGAAAACAAAGACAGGATACAGAGTACAATAAGATTTCTCATTCAGGTTGTAGGGACAGGAAAATAATCCTCTCTGAGGCTGCAGAGTATCAGGTAGTTACAAGGGTTTGTGTAGACAAGTATGTCAAAATTATGAATGCATCACAAACAACAGATTTCATTTGATAGTGAGGGTATAGGGCATGGAGAGAGTTTGTTAGTATCAGGTCTTGTAAAACAGCTGTTAGGGTGTTGAACCATAACAGTCTCCAAGGGGAACCGTATTTGGATCACAGTGTTAGTCCCACATCCTCTTATCCTCTTTGCCATCATTAGAGTCCTCAAACCATAGTCCTGGGCCATATCAGACTTTGACTGAGGGATTATCAAACAGAAAGATCATGATTTTACAAGATTTCAGCATTTAGCGCAATGATTTGAGTGTGTGCCCTTGTTCTTAGAAAACTGGGTTATCACAGATGGGGGTTCAAGTTATTGTTTTCCAAGATGACGAGAAGCTGGAAATTAACCATCTGGTTATAGATTACACATGGCTCCATCAGTTTGGAATGCAGTACTGAAGTATTGTACACAAGAAAACAATCTTGGTCATGTACAGTAGCACAAGGCATGCAGGTGTTTAGTCTCATGCCCTATGGATTATGACCTTTGGTCAAAATTTTGATTTATGAACTTGGTGTA